CCTTCTCCCACGATTTCTCAGTTTGGCTGAGCGGCCAGCTCTAGGAAGAGTCTTGGTGGTTCCAAACTTCATCCATTTAAGAATGATGGAGGCCACTGTGTTCTTGGGGACCTTCAATGCTGCATACATTTTTTCCCCAGATCTGTGCCTCGACACAATCCTGTCTCGGAGCTCTACGGACAAGCCCTTCAACCTCATGGCTTGGTTTTTGCTTTGACATGCACGGTCAACTGTGAGACCTTATATAGACAGGTGTGTGCCTTTCCAAATCATGTCCAATCAATTGAATTCACCACAGGTGGACTCCAATCAAGTTGTAGAAACATCTCAAGGATGTTCAATGGAAACAGGATGCACCTAAGCTCAATTTCGAATCTCATAGCAAAGGGTCTGAAGACTTATGTAAATAAGGTATTTCTATTTTAAATAAATGTGCAAACATTTCTAAAAACCTGTTTTCACTTTGTCATTATGTGGTATTGTGTGTAGATTGATGAGGATTATTATTTTTTAAACTCATTTTAGAATAAGGCTGTAACATAACAAAATGTGGAAAATGTCAAGGGGTCTGAATATTTTCCAAATGGAATGTATATACACTGAACAAAAATATAAACGCAACATGTAAAGTGTTGGTCCTATGTTCCATGAGGTGAAATAAAAGATCCTAGAAATTTTCCATATGCACATTTCTCAAAAATGTTGTACACAAATTTGTTTACATCCCTGTTAGTGAGAATTTCTCCTTTGCCAAGATAATATATCCACCTGACAGGTGTGGAATATCAAGAAGCTGATTAAAGAGCATGATCATTAAACAGGTGCACCTTGTGCTGGGGACAATAAAAGGCACTCTAAAATGTGTAGTTTACATTTACATTTTAGTCATTTAGCAGACGCTCTTATCCAGAGCGACTTACAGGAGCAATTAGGGTTAAGTGCCTTGCTTAAGGGCACAGACAGATTCTTCACCTAGTCGGCTCGGGGATTAGAACCAGCGACCTTTCGGTTACTGGCACAACGCTCTTACCCACTAAGCTACCTGCTAGTTCTGTGATACAACACAATGCCACAGATGTCTCAAGTTGAGGGAGCATGCAATAGGCATGCTGACTGCTGAATGTCCACTAGAGCTGCTGCCAGAGAATTGAATATTAATTTATCTACCATAAGCCGCCTCCAACACAGTTTTACAGAATTTGGCAGTACGTCCGACCAACCTCACAACCGCAGACCATGTGTAACCAAGCCAGCCCATGACCTCCACATCCAGCTTCTTCACCTGCGGGATCATCTGAGACCAGCCACCCGTACAGCTGATGAAACTGAGGAGTATTTCTGTCTGTAATAAAGCCCTTTTGTGGGGAAAAGCTGGCTCCCCAGTGGGTGGGCCTATGCCCTCCCAGGCCCACCCATGGCTGCGCCCCTGCCCAGTGATGTGAAATCCATAGATTAGGGCCTAATGAATGTATTTCAATTGACAGGCAACAATCCTGTATCTCAGTAGACAAGTCAGATAACACCTGCCTAGTCAAATACTGGCTACACTGTTGTAAAACAGTTGTGATCATGTCAACACTGCACACGGCCCTATAGTAACTTCCTCTTCAACTACAATAACTGGATTTTCTATTTCTGTGTGCTGCTGCTGCACCTTTCTGTGTGTGCTGGTTTGCTACAACACCTCGCTTGTTTTAGCAAGGAGCAACAAAGTCTCATCACGTTGTTAAGAGTCATGTTTCCGCAGAAACGTACTCAACCGCACGGCTTTGCCGTCTTCAGTCTGATATTGTTATTGATATTGTACAGAAACAGTGTGTTCTTACCGTGCACAGCGAAGACGTTACAGTGATGGGCTCCATGTCGTGATGACTCCCTCTTCCCGCCCTTGATGAAGTGCAGCGCCGGCAGACTCGGTCTCCTCTGGTCCCCAACAAACTTCCCCGGCTGCTGCCCCATAAGGGCAGGGTGCCAGGCCGCAGCCGGGTATCCAAACTGGCCTCTCTCACCGCCTGGGTGTGGGGCACCTGGTGGGCAGGGGATGGAGAGCAGGCACCCCCTCCGTGGTGTGATTTCCCTCAGTCAGTTTGGCCTCTCCTGGTGCAGTTGATGACTGGAAAGTGGAGGAAGCGGTAGATGCTCACTTCTGCATCCCACCGCTGACACCAATCCAGGGGTTTTTAATGGAGGTCAATGCAATTGCGAATAGGCCGGCAGGTCCTTCTCACTGATTCCACCCTCTTGATCATGCATTGACTGCTTTGGTAGAGTCTTACTGTCAGATGAGATCTGGTCTCTAACGGCACTTGTGTGTTTTATTTAACAGAGGAAGGCAGTCACACAGGAGGATGCTGGAGGAGCCCCAATCAAGACACATTCATGATGAGCCAAGGCCTAATTATGATGACATACATTCATCCAGCATGAAATAGAACGACATGGTTGCTTTAAAAGTAAGGCGAAGTATAACAGCTGAGAAAACTTCCATCAAGATGAGGAATTGGACAGAGTTATAGAAAAGGCACAATAACTCCTAAATTTACTAGTTGCGCTGAGAAACCTCAGTTCCATATTTGGTCAAATGGTTAATTTAGTTAGCCTGTATCTGCCTGGCTCGGTAGCTAGCTCAGTAGACAAGTCAGATAACACCTGCCTAGTCAAATACTGGCTGCACTGTTGTAAAACAGTTGTAATCATGTCAATACTGCACACGGCCCTGTAACTTCCTCTTCAACTACAATAACTGGATTTGGATATTGAATTTCAAGGCAACAGCATGTATGCCATCTGATTGTGCCCTTTAGCAAACGTATTGATTTTCAGCACCATGCAATCCACTGATTTGACATGCCTGATTGTATATTTGACATTCATCTAACATTTTGCTGTCATCTGACCATCTCGCAGTGTTTTTTCAGGCCACAATTAGGCATGACAAAAGACACTAGCATGGGATAAAATGTGTTTGAGGACAAATCATAGGAAACTTAGCTAGCTGATAGCCTACTTGCTTTACCAGAAAGCTAATTTAAATGGTTTAAACACGCTCTGTATTTGAATAAAGTTTCTGACAACTGAACAATATGTTATTCAGTAGCTATGAAGATGCAAGAGTGGCAGTGCAACACTGTCTGTTGGAATGCTAGCTAGCTAACTAGTTTCAGCTAACGATGGAGCTAGCCTTACTGGCTAGATGGTGGTATGCAGCGCGAGACCCTGTTAATGCACATCGGAACAGTCAACCTGCTAATAACCAGTTCTAACTTCGGGCTGAGTACTTTTGTCATCTCGTTTAAGTCAATATTGACAACATGAATACAGGTTTGGCGCAATGTGCAGTGTCACCCCCCAACCATTGGTATTCAATTCCTATTCAAACTTCGTGTCCACTCTTTCTGTCTTGAGGAGTTTCTCTCCCGTGCACCCCGACCCAGGCACTTTCACCAAGGCGCAGCCTCCAAACTTCTCGAGCCAGCCAGTGTGTTGCCAGGACGTTTTCGCAGCTCCTTCTCAACATGTGCAACAAACAAGCTCGTCGTTGCTATCTCCCTGGTTTCTAAACTTATTCATTACGCTTTCGATAAAATATTAACAATATACACCGGTCGGAAAGTCGTCGCTGAGGCCGCCATATTTCCGTACGCAAGGTGGTTTACAAAAATATGGGGTTGAGGATACGTTCTACGTCAGAGCATGCGTGCGTGACTAGCAGATGGGGCCCAGACAATCTCTTCTGTGATGGTTATGGGACATGACATACTGAATGTACTATGTAAATGTAGCAAAAATCATAGACTGACATAAAAGGATTGCAAAGTATCAACTGTTGATCAATAGCAGTTTCACTAACGGTAAAGGGCAGGCAGTAAAGTTGCTTTCATGAACCAAAACGTTAGGAGGAAGGCTTTGCAAGCTGTTATGCATTTTCCTTCCCTATTTTGTATTTACTGACTTTAACCTCATCTTTGGAAAATAGGAGTAAACAAAACAGAAAAATAATTAACACTTTTTTTGGATGGACATTGGGAAGGCGGTCTAAGATTCCTCCACAAGGATCTCTCATAACCTCAAAACATGTGCCCTCTAGGTAAAATAATGTAATTGGAAAACCTCTAAATAAAAACACTACTTACAAGCATTATAAGAGCAAGGTTTCACACACTGATAGCTTGAGGCATTAGTAGCTTGGAGTATTTATTTCTCACAAGAGTAGTTATTCATACAAAAGTATGACACATTATCAACAGTCCTCTATTAGTTCTCTATAAAACAATCACAAAGAAATGAGGAACAGCTGGGTCCTTGGTTGCAGAATGCAGGAACGTTCTAATACAGTAAATCAATTACTATCCCTCTCCAGTATAGGTTTCTGTTTAGAAACATAGTTATAGTTTATATACTGAACAAAAATATAAATGCAAGAATTTCAAAGTTTTTACTGAGTTACAGTTCATATAAGGAAATAAGTCAATTGAAATAAATTCATTAGACCCTAATCTATGGATTTCAAGCCCGCTCAGACTTTCCCACAGGTGAAGAAGCCGGATGTGGAGGTCGTGGGCTGGCGTGGTTACACGTGAGGCCGGTAGGACGTACTGCCAAATTCTCTAAAACGACATTGGAGGCAGCTTATGGTAGAGAAATTAACATTCAATTATCTGGTAACAGCTTTGGTGGACATTCCTGCAGTTAGCATGCCAATTGCATGCTCCCTCAAAACCTGAGACATCTGTAGCATTGTGTTGTGTGACAAAACTGCACATTTTAAAGTGGCCTTTTATTGTCCCCAGCACAAGGTGCACCTGTGTAATGATCATACTGTTTAATCAGCTTCTTGATATGCCACACCTGTCAGGTGGATGGATTATCTTGGCAAAGGAGAAATGCTCACATACAGGGATGTAAACAAATTTGTGCACAAAATTTGAGAGAAATAAGACTTTTGTGCGCATGAAAATTCAGGGATTTTTTTTATTTCAGCTCATGAAACATGGGACCAACACTTTACATGTTGCGTTTATACTTTTGTTCAGTGTAGTTTGGTTAAATAAACTAAACAGCAGAGAAATACCTATCCTGGTCAAGCCAGAAGATTGTATCAAAAAGGGGATATACAGGTCACGGTATCTTCTGGTTGAGAGACGAGTTCAGACCTTGGGCTTAGGTTCAGTTCCCAATGTGGTTAAGGCCTTGATGCCTAAACTTGGAATGCAGGGAACACAAACCTTCCATTGCGATAAGGAAGGTTGCATCTGATACTCTAACCCTCCTGTTCCACAAGTTTCTGACGTGTCATCATCACAATCTCCTCCATCACCTCTGGTTTTAAGATATCCTTGATCTAGAAAGAGAGAGAGACCGGTAACTCCATATGCTTTGTAAATCCTTTGAAGTCTGATGAAATGAGCTAAAAATGCAATATCATCATCAGGACTTGGATGGCTATAGATCATGTGTCATACAAAATGGCTTGCGTCGAGTCCCTTTTAAAAGAATTATCTAATTGAGGCACAACTAATGGAAAGGTTTGCTTCCCTCAGATCCTTTTTCCATGACCTAGATCAGTATAGACATTGTTACCTGGTGTGGGAGTGATGACTCATAGCAGTAGAGCACACTGGTGTCGTACAGAAGCACCTTATGTGCCCCCAAGGCCAGCAAGCAGTTCCTCAACCGCGAGATCACCTCCCGATCTGAGAGAGAGACAGGCTGAGAGGGCGAGAGGTTACAGCATGGTGAAAAGGGGAAACAGAGAAGGGTTGGGGAGATAATAACAATCTATTAAAAGTCAAACCGTTATTAGTCTTGTTGAAAGATAAACACACATTTTAGTAGCACTTCATGGTATCTATATAGAGGTTGGATTCATTGTATTCCCGCTCGCAGCTGTGTGGCCCCAGGCAGCGCTGACCTCCAGACTGGTGTAGTATCCTCCTGCCTCCTCGTCCTGCTGTCCTGGGGTGGGGTACAGCCACACAAAGCCGTTGTTTCCCAGGATGATGGAGGCCCCACAAGGTAGGTTGTGGAAGTGGGTTTTCTGTCTCTTGATCAGAGAGGGAGATAGCTGCACAAGAACTCCTTGCCCCAGCTGATGTGATGTAGGTGCAAAGGAATAAGATAGGAGGTAAATGGTTTACATTTTCAATCACTTCAAAAATTGGTATTTACACAGAAAAAATTGAATAATCGTACCTTTCCATATTTTAAACTGCGGGTGTGAAGAGAGAGCGCTCCATCTGAGAAAACCGACTGTACCTCTGCCTGAGAGTAGACTTGGTCAAGGAGAATTTTGACCATAGTCATGTACAAAATAGAATGCATGATCAATGATAGTATGACACTTGCTGCTAGCAGATGGTAGCGCCAAAGAAAGGAATCTAAACATAATAAAGATTCCATGTAGAGTAGTTTGGAAGGTAGGATGGACATTACAAAGGCAAACGGGCCCAGGTTGGTGATAAGGGTCAGAGGATACACTGATGAGGTCCCCCTCCTGAAGGTAGTCTCTCATGGTGAGCTCATCTTCTGCTGACCGTCTCCTCTAAGAAGGACAGATACAGAAAGATTGATTGATGGTAAGACCGAGACAGAGAATGTAAAAAAAATATCCAAAGAAATTTCACCAACAGTGTCAGCACTACTTGGTTGCACCAGGTTGCTAAGAGGAACAAGCACACATTACCCAACCCCCAGATATTCATTTACATTTTAGTCATTTAGCAGACGCTCTTATCCAGAGCGACTTACAGTTAGTGAATGCATACATGTTTTTTTTTCATTCTGGCCCCACGTGGGAAACAAACCCACATCCCTGCCGGCCAAACCCTCCCCTACCTTGGACGACGCTGGACCAATTGTGCGCCGCCCATGGGTCTCCCGGTCGCGGCCGGCTGCGACAGAGCCTGGACTCGAACCAGGATCTCTAGTGGCACAGCTAGCACTGCGATGCAGTGCCTTAGACCACTGCACCACTCGGGAGTCGGATATATGCTGTCCATTCCACTCACCAGCTCTCCCCCGGGCAGATTGACAGAGGACAGCAGCAACACAGAGTCCAGTCTGGAGTTGGTCTCCACCTTCCAGCGCTTCTGCTGCACCTACAAAACGGCAGACAAACACTAAGCTCCAACCAGGAGAAGCACGATCACCCCAGGACACTATTAGCTTTACTGACTGGGTCACCACCTCAAACAGAAACATACCTCTGTGATCCTCCCAACCACCACATCTCCAACCTCCCCGTTGAACCTGGGAATCAGAACAGATAAAGATGGCAAAAGTGATTAAAAGATGCTGCACAATGGAAAAGTTGTCTTAAACAGAGTCAGTAGCTAACCACTGGGGTAAATCTAAGCCTAGGATTAGACATTACTGTGCCACCTGGTCCACTTACCTGGTCTTGAGCGGCCTTACACAGATGAGCTTGTTCACCCTCTCCACCTCTCCAGCCACAGAGGCTGTTAGTTTTTCTTCATCCATGTAAGTCCCATGACCCCTAGAATGAAATGAATCTTTGGTCTAGTCATAACTCATTATATACCCACTTTCAATGTCCTGTATGCACGTAAGTTAGTGCCTGTCAACATAATTGGCAGATGTTCTATGATTCATTTAAGAGAAACTTGAAATTGTGCAGCAAATATTAACAATAATAAAGTGAATAGGTAAGCCTAACCTTAGCTACTCTACGAGTGACACTTGAAGAGTATTACACTATATATATAAAAGTATGTGGACACCCCTTTAAAGTAGAAGATTCAGCTATTTCAGCCACACCTGTTGCTGACAGGGGCTGTTCCATGATTTTGGAATGAGATGTTCGACGAGCAGGTGTCCACATACTTTTGGTTGTGTAGTGTATTTATGCACTAACAAGTGAGACCTGACATATCTAATCAATAGTTTCCTAGCTATATAAACTCAGCAAAAAAAGAAACGTCCCTTTTTCAGGACCCTGTCTTTCAAAGATAATTCGTAAAAATCCAAATAACTTCACAGATCATAATTGTAAAGGGTTTAAACACTGTTTCCCATGCTTGCTCAATGAACCATAAACAATTAATGAATATGCACCTGTGGAACGGTCGTTAAGACACTAACAGCTTACAGACGGTAGGCAATTAAGGTCACAGTGATGAAAACTTAGGACACTAAAGAGGCCTTTCTACTCATCTGCGTGAATGTGCCTTAGGCATGCTGCCTAAGGCACATCCCAGCGCTACAGGGAGACAGGACAGACAGCTGATCGTCCTCCACGTGTAACAACACCTGCACAGGATCGGTACATCCGAACATCACACCTGTGGGACAGGTACAGGATGGCAACAACAACTGCCCGAGTTACACCAGGAACGCACAATCCCTCCATCAGTGCTCAGACTGTCCGCAACAGGCTGAGAGAGGCTGGACTGAGGGCTTGTAGGCCTGTTGTAAGGCAGGACCTCACCAGACATCACCAGCAACAACGTCGCCTATGGGCACAAACCCACCGTCGCTTGACCAGACAGGACTGGCAAAAAGTGCTCTTCACTGACAAGTCGCAGTTTTGTCTCACCAGGGGTGATGGTCGGATTCGCGTTTATCGTCAAAGGAATGAGCATTACACCGGAGGCCTGTACTCTGGAGCGGGATCGATTTGGAGGTGGAGGGTCCGTCATGGTCTGGGGCGGTGTGTCACAGCATCATCGGACTGAGCTTGTCGTCATTGCAGGCAATCTCAACGCTGTGCGTTACAGGGAAGACATCATCCTCCCTCATGTGGTACCCTTCCTGCAGGCTCATCCTGACATGACCCTCCAGCATAACAATGCCACCAGCCATACTGCTCATTCTGTGGGTGATTTCCTGCAAGACAGGAATGTCAGTGTTCTGCCATGGCCAGCGAAGTGCCCGGATCTCAATCCCATTGAGCACGTCTGGGACCTGTTGGATCAGAGGGTGAGGGCTAGGGCCATTCCCCCCAGAAATGTCCAGGAACTTGCAGGTGCCTTGGTGGAAGAGTGGGGTAACATCTCACAACAAGAACTGGCAAATCTGGTGCAGTCCATGAGGAGGAGATGCACTGCAGTACTTAATGCAGTCCCCCCTTTGTTCAGGGACACATTATTCCAGTTATGTTAGTCACATGTCTGTGGAACTTGTTCAGTTTGTCTCTGTTGTTGAATCTTGTTATGTTCATACAAATATTTACACATGTTAAGTTTGCTGCAAATAAACGCAATTGAGAGTGAGAGGACGTTTCTTTTTTTGCTGAGTTTAGTTAGCTACCTATCTAAAGCAAAGAGGTAAACATGACGTGGATTAATATTGATTTAACGTTACAGTAACGAGATAAAGCTCAGATTCAAAATTGTATTAGATGGGAGCAGCATGTCGACAGACTGTTTACTTGTTATCGTGATGTTCATACAAGCTTGTAGACATACCTCATAAACCCTGTATCTGATGTGATCACATCACCGGGAACAACTAGATCTTTTCCATCCAAAGCAGACAGAGAGGATGATAACGATACTTGTTTCCGAATAGTTGGTAATCTCATGTCCGCAGCCATGCTTTCTGTCTTCTGTTCTGTAAACTCAAACGGCGCTTGTAATTGACGTCATCGGATACTTACAGAATTTACCACTCATTGGAATTTACCAAAGCGGATTTCCAAAAAATCGAAATAATGTCTCTGGCCATTCATTCATTTGATAAATTTATTTCACAATATTTCAAACTGCTTTGCAAAAAAACATAGTTTACGTAAGGATGCTGGAGTATATGTTTTGTGTCTCGCGCCATCAGGTGAACTTTAAGCGGTACTTCAACCCATCTGGACAATTTTTCATTCCTATTAGGTGTAAAAAGGGCACTAAATAAACAAACACAAAATCAGATATAAAAACAATAAATTTATTATTTGTATGTATTCTTCAAAACCAATGTTAACCCTAGTCACTGTAATTTATGACTATCCCATAAACTAGAATCTCATTCTAGTTCTGTGGAATAGCCTCCCAGTCCAGTGGCGGCTCCTGAAAAAATTCTCAGGAGGGGCAATTTTTCTGATGATTTAGGTGACCTACACACATTTTTAAAAAGATATGTCCAGCAACAACATGAAGACAGGGGCAGCATATAAGTCAATACCAGAAGCATTTATTGACTGATCTCAAAAGTGTTGGCTTACAAAAGCAAAATAAGTTATCACAGTAAAAATAATCAAGGGTGTTCTTTCACATTCCTCAACACTGCATAAACAATATGTATGGCTTTGTAAAAATGAACAACCATATTCTGGCCAATTGTATAGATTTGTAAATATGAACAACCATATTCTGGCCAATTGTATAGATTTGTAAAAATGAACATGAACAGATTTTTTATTTTTTTGAATGGCAGTACCTTTCAAACATGTCTGCTTGCAGTAAGGTAGCACTCACAAGGTGGCCAGAGAAAGAGAACCTTTCTTTGGTGTGATCCAGGATGGTGTTGCAGACCTCTTCAGACAGCCTCTGCTTCTCCTCTTCTCTCAAAGCTGTTCTGGGTCTTTTGGCTCCTGTTGCTTCTTGCAGCTGCTGTTGAGAGGAGTCCCTGAAGGCAAACAGACCAATGTGTTTGTTGGCTTTGTACAGTATTGTTGTCTATGTGATGCACAGGTATATGCAATGTATCCATGTATAGTACAAATACTTCAGTTCCACTTAAAATGGGCAGGGATGCATAAAGTCTTTAGTGTTTAAGTTAGCCTTTGTGTCTCACATAGCCTGGATGTTCAGCACAGTATACAGTGGTGCTCATAAGCTTATGATCCCATGCTAAAGTTGACTAAAAAGAGGAATAAAAAAGAAAAGAAAATTGGTGTCCTTAAAGGTTGGATTTTCCAACTTTTTTAATTAAGTCATTAAGATCAATTTCCAAAAGATGATTTTTTTATTTTTTTATTCCTCTTTTTAGTCAGCTTTAGAATGTGTTCATACACTTATGAGCACCACTGTACAGTACACATAGTATATAAAATAAGATAGATTACACCACTGGCCATATATAATGACAATAATGTAATTTCAAACACAAATGCAGTCTCCTTTCATGCATACATTTTCAAATAAAGCTCTGCTTTGAGAAAGATCGAATGATATTGTTTAATCTTTATCTTACCTTATGGCCTGCACACTGCTTGCGAAGCTGTCGAGGGCACGTTTGATAAAGACAGCATCGATGTCCTTATTCTGTAGCTTCTGGTACGGTGGGCTGGTCAAATGAACCCAATGAACCCGTCCGGATGGCTTCAAAACATTCTATGAGGTCGTCTCGATTCTCGTAGACAGTGTTCACGACTCTGCTGTTGCTAACCTCATCGTTGTGGCGGCGGACAGCTAGCCTGTATCCCTCATCCAGTTGAGTGGCAATATTCACTCTCACCAAAGCAGACAATCTCAAACAGCTATCAATGTGGGTCTTTGACAGCTCATTTTTCTTAATCTTTTCTGAAAGATGGTGCATGTCGGTTACACCAGTCGCTGTCCAAGCGTTGCTGTCTGCCGTTCATGGTTACGTTACGTTACGTATGACGAAAGCGCGTAAGTGCAAGCCCTCAGACACCCATAGAGAATGTATTGAAAGCTCAGAAATTTGAAAAAAAAATATTTTACATTAGAGGCTATGAGAGACTTCTGGGCGATTTTCAACCTGACTGAAATCGCCCCAAAACGGGCGGGGACATTTGAAGCACGACTTTAGCCTGATTGGACATTTAGTGGCTGGCAGATCAGACGTGAACACTGAACTACTGTTGCCATGATATAATTGATTAGAAAAAAAATCCCTTCCTTTTCCCGTTTGGCAGTGCGTCGCCCATATCGCCCTATTGAACACACCGCCCATGCCTCCCACTGGGCACAGACGTCATTTCAACGTCTAGTTTTGATTGACATTTGGTTGAGTCAACAAACGTGAAATCAACAAACAAGAAAAATCACCATGTCTTTGGATGTAGGTTTAAAGTAGCCTGGACAGCCGCTAGTGCGCGCTATTTTCCAATGGCAAACGACACCATCAGGCGGCAGCAGGGTTAGGTTAATAGTTGGGTGAAAAAATAGGAAATTCCTTTACGTTGATGACTTTTGCAAATCCCAATCAGTTTTCCACTTTGATTTAACGTCATCACATTAATTTATTTTTTTTAATTTTTTATGACGTGGACAACGTTGATTCAACCAGATTTTGCCCAGTGGGCTTTAGCTACATCATAATTAAAATTCCACGAGAAACAGAACCAAACATGCTTATTTTTCAGCAGAAACATTTACATTCATAACACAATTTTGCTAAGTAGGCTTAAGTCGTGTAAAATGAATTCCAATGTCTTCAAAACAAAAACTCTGGCAGAGAGTGAGTGTATGAAGGCCAACTGCAAGCCACGGTGGTGTTTTAACTCAAAACACGCTGGCAACGTCTGTTTGAGACAAGTAAGTGTCAGAGTGATCAATAAGACGTTTTTGAATAAAAAGGAATATAAAATGTGAAACATGTTTTGGTTTGTTAATTACACGTTTCTCTGCCATTCATTACCAGGTCAGATAGCATCTCCAAACTGGCCTACTAGTCCTGATGGAGTTTCTAGTGTAGCAAGAAATTCGTTGGTGGGTGGCCCTGCAGAAATTTGAGCCAACTTCCTGCAAATGTACACATTTAGCCTTGGGGCAAAGAGAACAATTTGCTGTTTTATAGCTAATCTCATGCTATTCTACACATTTTGCTATTAGGCTAAGAGAAAATGTTGCTGTTTTAAAGCAAATTTCCAGCAATTCTACACATTTTCCATGGGCAGGGGAAAGTGTGCAGTTTTATAGCTAATCTCATGCAATTCTACACATTTTGCAATGAGGCTGAGAGAAGATTTTGCCAATGCAGCTGCCTCTGTCCCAGCCGCCTCCTCCCTGCGGCTACTGTCTCCAGCCCCTCTGTTACTGCTACACTGGACCCAATGCCTCAGCATGGCGCCAATATGGGGAACACCCCAGACAAAGCTTGTCTTTCTGCTGTGTTGATGTCATTTCGTTGGAATATTCTGTCTGTCTTATTTGTACTTATCTTGTGGAATTCAGTATTGCTGTTAGGCGTGATCATATTGTGCCTCTCTCTGCACTGTCTAACAGTTTCTTCCTCTTGATTGACAGCTGGGAGCTTGGCTCCAGCTGCAGTTGGGAGCTCTGGAGTCAGGAGACCCAGGGAGAGTTCTGGGCCCGTATCCACAAAGCGTCTCAGAGTAGGAGTGCTGATCATGGATCAGTTTAGCCTTTTAAATCATAATTAATAATATTATATGGACAGATCCGAGGTCAGCCCTCCTACACTGAGACGCTTTGTGGTACGATCCCTGTGCCCAGGTCGAGGGCTCTTGTTCAGGCCAGTGCCATCCACTCCAGGATATTCCAACGCCACAAGGCCTCCAGGCCTTATCTCATTGAAGAGGGACTAAGGCTCCAGCGTGCCTCCAGATGGAATCACTCAGGTAAGAAAACACATTTTGATATGTATGTAGATTATAACACTGCCGGATGTGGCTCCCTACCATTGCCTCCCTCCAGATGCACCTCATCCACAGTCCATGCAGTCTCCACTACAGGTTCCTCCAACATGTGAACAGGGAAATCACGATTAACGTTGCCCAGGTATGATGAGATCATCTTATTCACCCCTCACCAGGGACTCAACACTGCCAGGGAGTCGAAACACATACACCCGTCCACAGGGAGTCCCTGCCTCTCGCAGGAGACCCAGGGAGGAAGATGAAAATCACCAACTTGCTAAGAGACGCACGGAGTAGGGAGGAGCTACTGTCCTCCCAAATAAATATTATTATTGCTCCATTATACACTATATATACAAAAGTATGTGGACAGCCCTTTACATTTGTGGATTCGGCTATTTCAGCCACACCCGTTGCTGACAGGTGTATAAAATCGAGCACACAGCCATTCAATCTCCATAGACAAACATTGGCAGTAGAATGGCCTTACTGAAGAGCTCAGTGACTTTCAACATGGCACCGTCATAGGATGCCACCTTTCCAACAAGTTAGTTCATCAAATAGAGCTGCCCCGGTCAACTGTAAGTGCTGTTATTGTGAAGTGGAAACGTTTAGGAGCAACAACAGCTCAGCCACGAAATGGTAGGCCACACAAGCTCACAGAACGGGACCGCTGAATGCTGAAGCGTGTAGCGCGTAAAAATAATCTGTCCTCGGTTGCAACACTCTCACTACCGAGTTCAAAACTGCCTCTGGAAGCAACGTCAGCACAATAAATGTTCGTCAGGAGCTTCATGAAGTGGGTTTCCATGGCCGAGCAGCCGCTCACAAGCCTAAGATCACCATGCGCAATGCCAAGCGTCGGCTGGAGTGGTGTAAAGCTCGTCGCCACTGGACTCTGGAGCATTGGAAACGCGTTCTCTGGAGTGAGGAATCACGCTTTACCATCTGGCAGTTTGACGGACAAATATGGGTTTGGTGGATGCCAGGAGAACGCTGCCTGCCCAAATGCACAGTGCCAACTGTATAGTTTGGTGGAGGAGGAATAATGGTCTGGGAGCAAGTCCCTGCAGCAATGTTCCAACATCTAGTGGAAAGCCTTCCCAGAAGAGTGGAGGCTGTTATAGCAGCAAAAGGGGGACCAACTCCATATTAATGCCCATGATTTTGGAATGAGATGTTCGACGAGCAGGTGTCCACATACTTTTGGTCATGTAGTGTATCTGCTCGTGTGCTTTTAATGTTTGTTTATTGCTTCCTTCACACCTAATAAACATTCCCAACATGCTAGGAGGCTTCATAGTAGGCTACCAAAAGGTCCAAAGTAAAAACCACTACGCAGACTTGTTAATATCATTATTTATTTAGAATATAAGGAAAGCGCATATGTATTTACATTCACATACAGTTCAGAATTACACAATGCTTTACATGAATATACAGAAATAAAGTGTCTATTACACAGTGTCAAATTTTGATAGGGCTGAAATGAATGTACACTGCTGCTCTCCTATTTCTGCACACTGTACATTTCATTTGAATTCTCCTTTGTTACTTTACTACATAAAAAAAAACATTTTAGTCATTTAGCAGATGCTCTTATCCAGAGCGACTTACAGTTAGTGAGTGCATACATTTTCATACTGGCCCCCCGTGGGAATTGAACCCACAACCCTGGCGTTGGAAGCGCCGTGCTCTACCAACTGAGCTACACGGGGCTTACTATTCAAGCAACCTTCTCCCTGAGTTGGTAGGGCTACGATGACAGGATGTAGAGTGAGGATAATTTAATTAATGACGGAACCACCCAAAAACTAAATCCGTTATGGTAAAACATAATTATCTGAAATACAGAGTACTTGTCTTGACCAATGTAATTATTTACTAGAATAGAAAACTATTTCCTTTGGTCTGCTGCGTTCTCGCAATACTGTTTATAGTATACAAACAAAGAGAAACGGATAGTTACTCTCAAAATACTATTGAAACCAACATTCAGTCCTTTGTTCAGGTTCTTTGTGCAGGCACTAGTAGAACAGTTTGACCCTTCTACATGAGACCTTTATTGTGAGAATTACAAACATAATATCCAGTAAATCTAAGCAGACTACATTGTAAATAAGGCAACCAGTAAAAAGTATTTAAGAATGGCTGTACCATCAGTTCAACCCACCAGACATACACCCAGTTATCCTCTCTGGCCCAACACAAAGTTATAGCAATGCCAGACACACGAGCAAACAGTGGCTGCCCATCCTCTGAGAATGAGAGAGAGCGCAACCTGTGACCCAGGTGTGCATGGGTAAAGTGCAGTTTGCATTAGCAAGTGTCTCTCTCTCCTCTCTGCTATCATAGCACCATGGTGGGGATGTGGTGAACCAGGGGGACCTGCTGTTGGGACAGGCTGCTGATCGGTGGGGGAGATGGTGAGACTTGGGAGGCAGTGTCTGCGCCCGCCGCCCCTGGTCTGTGCCTGGCACTCTTCTGGTGTGCCCGCAGCCCTGCCAGTTGGGAGTAGGCGCTCTGGCACACGTGGCACTTGTAGGGGCGCTCTCCGGTGTGCAGTCGCACGTGGTTGCGCAGGGTGGACGACTGGCTGAAGCGGCGGTTGCAGAAGCGGCAGACGAAGGGCTTGTCCAGGGTGTGGATGCGCATGTGGGAGCGCAGGTTGCTACGCGAGTTGAAGCCTCGGTGGCAGATGACGCAGCGCATGCGGCTGGTCGCAGACGAGGAAGAGGATGATGAGGGGGAGCAAGATGAAGAGCCGTCACAGGAGTGAGAGTCCTCTGTCAGGGGAAAGGAGAAGCAGAGAGACGGAGTTGTTTGATTCACAAACTAATGTGACTGACATATCTATTGTCGATTTCAACATGGGATAGAATCGGTGTATTTTCAGTACTTTGCAATAAATCAGAGTGATGTAAATATGTTGGCTGCAGCAGAGCCCATAACCAGACAAAGGAGCCTGAGTCAGATAGTTATCTGGTTGTCTAAATACTCAATAGGCCCATACAGTATATCCACAGCCACATTAACCAGCACTAAAGAGGTAATGAGTGGCTGCCCTAATGACAGTCTTTCTCTGTTTGATGATTTTGATAGTCATCAGAACCTCATCCCCCCTCACCTCCCCTCCCTCCCGCCCGCTCTCTCCCCCTCTCTCTATAGCCTGAGGGAAAAGAGTCTCACCATTCCAGCTCTTTCTCTGATGCTCCTCCTCAGTACCGGGAACGCCGGGAATACCAAGGAAGGTGTTGTGGGAGTTTCCATACCAAACCAGCAGCTCCTGGTCTGGAGGGATAGTCTGTAGAGAGCAGGAGAGGGAAAATGTTAAAAACGAACAGGAGGTGGTAACTATACCTGTGGAGATTATTTGTTTCCGATCATGCTCTCCGCCAACCTTGCTTTACACATCAAGAGTCACAGTTCTCTTTTCAGCCAGAAGGTTGCGCTGTTCAGCAGCTGGCAATAGGTTGCCCTTACTTCTATATAGGTTACGGGAAATTCAAGACTTATACAGTCAGTCTATGGATTTGACACCAACAAAAGCGGCCTACAAACGAATGGGCTTAACTGCAGAACTTGTCATTATTTCAGCCACAATAAAACGCTGACATGTCAGAGGCTTCATGTCAGTTTGGAGTGACAGTATCTGGCTTGGTTCTCACCCCTGCAGCTCTGTAGAAGATGCTGCTGCCGATCTGCACCACCTCCAGGTTCTGCTCCTGTTCGTTGCGGGCACACTTGATATAGGTCATCCAGCTGCGATGGTCCTCCTGGCTGGCATCGATGAAGTAGCGCACCGTGCCATCCTCGTTGAACACCTATAAGAACAACAGCAAGATCTTAAGAGTCTGGTACAATGTCATTGCAAGTCATTATTATTGTATATGTTGACATATAGCTTCTTATACATACAGCTGGTGAACAAGACAGATTATGCCGCCCTTAAACCTGTGCTTCCTCCACAAAAACATGGCATACACAGAGATTCATTGCTGTCTTGCTTCCATTATTCCCCTGCCTAATTGTTAAAGCAGTCCACATAGCTGCCCAGCTGATTCTCACCTCCCACATGAGGTTGTTGTTCTTGAGCAGGTCTACGTGTTCAGGGGAGATTACCCTGCCAGTGAACGGACCCATCTCTGTGCCCGCCTTGATCCAGGTCTTAGAGAAAATGCCCAGGCCCTCGCCAGGGATAGAGCTCTGGGCAATGATCACCTCACTGGGTAGCACCAGGCTGGAGAGCTTCTGGACCTCTGCAGGGAAGGGAAAAATAGGTTATTTTACTGCTGTGTACAATTCATAAAAGCTGTGAATTTCGTCAATCCATCCATGCATGAATGAGAAATGCATGAAATAGTACCCAAGCTAAACAATTTGCCTAAAAGACATTGAGGATAGGAGTGGTTTAAGTCAGGCATTGTGTATTAGTGCTAATATTATTACATGTCCTTTAAATAAAGCCCAAAAAGCAAAATGGTTGATATATATAATATACATATTTCGAATAAAAGATTCACCAAATATGATGCTTTGCTTTCGAATAAAAGATTCACCAAATATGATGCTTTGTTAACCTTTTGATAAAACTTTACGAATTGGAAAATCTTAAACATAGGTGGTCTTAAATAATATTTATACTCCTCACGAATTAGGTTTAACATTTGGTAATTGCCAACACAGCAAATAGATTGCATCTTATTTTGGTCACGAAATATTAAGCAACATCAAATCCACCGTTTAATTGATTAAATGGATTAATTGAAAGTTTGTTGAAAAGAAGAAGAAAAACTCGGAAAGCATTTATCCTCATTCAAAACGTAAACAATTTAACTCTTGGGATTATTTAATGTCAGAATAAAAGAAAATGTATTTAAATATGCGAAAAGACTGCCGAATAGAGGTTAAATTGTCTTCTATTGCTCAGGGTCCAGCAATTGGTCATGCTTCAGATGCGATATTCATTATACCCTACTGAAAGAAACGGCTAATTCCAAATTCATTATCATTTTAAGAGCTTTGTAGCAATACATTTGCGCTGAATTAAATGAGGACTTGTTTAAAAGACCCAGAAATTTCTCAAACAAAAAAATGGAAAGGCGATTAGATGGTTGACATGGTATGAATGGCAATAGATTTAGCCTTCACGGCGCATTATCTGGGGAACATAAAGAGAAAAGCATCGGAGCCCCATAGCTGCCAAAGGAGGAAAATAGACTGTCGGGAGATTGATGAATGCCGGGACATCAAAGAAAGGGAACCTTTCTCTCCCCTCGGTTTAAGTGGAAACTTTCTCAGGTCAAGCACAAAGTTAACCAAATGAATGTAATACCCTTCTCAGCAACAGTTACACGCCTAACACGCTTCTAAATGCAAGGTCTCAAAGCACTAAATTAGCTAATGCGTTAAATGGGTGGAAATAAAAGGGACAATGAAGGAAAATACAGGAGAACAGTAGGCCTAATGAGAAAGTCACAGAGACCTTGGGAAGAAATCTAGAACAGAGGAGTGAACGTTCCCACTTTTTTGGTTCACTCTCAATGACATGCATGATGAGACCTCACTAAGGTTATTTTTGATGAATAAATTCTAACCAAAGGCCTATTTTACGCTTTTTAGTAAATTGTCAAGAGGGTCCTTTTCTTGCCATAGGCTAATAACAGAGAGAAATTGTGAAATAAAAAAAGAAAACCTAGGCCATTTTTGTTTTAGATAAGACTCTGGTCTCTTGGACCTCCCACCCCCAGCTCAGCCCATTCCAAGCTCTTCTCTGTCCTGGCACCCCAATGAAGCTAGGACAGCAGAGTCCCTGCCCATCTTCCGAAATCACCTGAAACCCTACCTCTTCAAATAGTATCTTAAGTAATCCCCCTCCTCCCCCCAAATAAATACAAATAAAATAAAAACTTTCCTGAACCAACATTTGCATGGGGCAACTTACCTCCGGCAAAGGACTGCGCGAGGACCTCAGCGGTGAAGGCTGTCTTAGGACTGATGCTACTCTGCCTCTCCTCCATCAGATGCTCCCCGATCACATTTCTCCACCGTCCATACAAGAAACTGTGCAGAATGTCGGAGGTGATGATATCAGACAAGGACCGACTCTGACATTTAAATCCAGAATTTAGGGCTAAAGCCTCTGCGGGTAATACCGAGCCCATCTCGCAAACTACTGCAAACCGTGATGGGTGGAAAATGCTCCGTCCCCTCGCAGTGAGGGTCCTCTTTATACAGTAGGCTACGTGGCTGGTCTGACCCCTCTCTAATTAGCTATTAATGACACTCCCCTTTTGGTATGGACCATCTCCAGCAAAAGAAAAGCCGCTTATATTAGGCGGTCCTCCCCTTTCAGAGAGAGAGAGAGAGAGAGAGAGAAAGAGCGAGAGACGGAGGGCGGGTGTGTGTGAGAGTGACAGAATTGAATTGAAATAGTGAGTAAGTGAAATGGAGAGGGACAAGTAGCCGAGGCTACTCAACAATATTAATGGATTATCTCTCTACTGCACACATGCACATTTTTGTGCGCATCTGATGGTAAATAGGCCTAAACGAAGAAAAATCATTTAGGGAAGTATCACACATTTTGTTTCAGTCACTGACAATTATTCAACATCCCTTCACACACCAACCAGATACCATTTTTCTTCATTAGAGATGTCCAACACTGCCTTCCATAAAACTCATTCCAAAAAAACAACCTCGTCGACAGCTTAGCACTAGATTTAGTCGAATATACAAATCGACATATAAAATCAACATTGTTATGTTACTTAGGGTCTATTAATACAATTGGAACATGTATAACATATCATAGCCTAGATCAAATGTCTCCTATAAAATACGACTAAAAATGCAAGAATCATGTTTTTATATTCCATTCAAATGGGTTATAGCATAATTCAGGTATTGAGTCCCACGTTTATTTAACAGAATGAAAATGCTGTCAACATTAAACTGGTTCAACAATTAGTTAAAACGTTTGTCATCAAAATTAGGTCATTGGGTCTGGGAGTTGCTTAAACGTTATTTCTCAGGCATTCTGTATTCACGTGGTCGGCAATAAACAATTTCTTCCAGGGAGTTGTAGTGCGGGAATAATGGAATAGAAACAAGCTTAACGTGCTTTCCGCATTGTCCCAATGCAAAGCTGCTTTGACGTGGTTCACTTCTCTAGCCCTTGTTGAAGTAAGCGGTTTAATATTCATGGATGTTCATAGCCCTTCAGTATATTGTGACAGCATTTAGATGAGTATATACAGCCCCTTTCTTCTCAATAGCCACAGGTCTGTTTTTTCCTCTATTTTTCGGCCTTTATGGACTGGGGGTAAATGAGCAGTTTTCCTTCTCTTCCAGCAGAGAGAACATCTTTATGCCGTCCCCGGCTCTCTCCAAGTAATGTCAGGAGGCTGAAAAGCGCTGCAAATCAATAGTTCATGGTGTTTTGAGGGCATTTTGACACCCATGCACTCCGCCTTTCTTTCCAACAACTACAACGGGATGGTCCGAAAAGCTGGGCAAGTTGGGCTCTGACGAATGTGGACTCAAATGGAAAATATATGGATTCTAAATTGAACGGGGTGTTTTGAACGCAGATATAGTGAAAAGGTGAGTCACCCGGCACGAAAAAAGATTGTGAAAACAGCTGCTTTTTAGGAGGGGCCCACTCCTACATTTGTCTCTTTTCCCAAATGAAATTTCCCCCCTCTCTGAATAGGATTCGTTCTCAGATTTATTTACATTTAATGCATTTCGGCATATTACACTAAGAGGCTTCAGGTTTGAGTTAAATGGCAGGGCCAGGGGGTAGGGACCATTCTTTATTAAAGAGGAATTACATTAATTGAAATGGGGTAAGGCATGGATTTGATTTGCTTATCTACGCATTAACCTTTTATTTTTATGTCTGGTAAAGCTATGGACACATCAAGAGCAGCCAATCACCCTGCTCAATCATATTGAAAAACAATTTAGGCCACTATTTGTTCATTTAAAGTGTATGAATTAAACAATAGCCTTTAAATAGGCTATACATTTCCTTCCAATATTTAGCCAACATTTTGAAGGGAGAAATATCAAAGTAGTTGTATGAAATAAAACTCAGGATTTCAGATTAATCTTCTAGGCCTACAACAACTAAAAGGTTCTTATAGGCTATTGCTATAAATTATGATATATATATATATTTTTAAAGGGTGCAATATCATTCAAACACACTGTATAGGTTATTGATAATGATTCATAACGGCAGACATGAGTTGGGCTAAAAACATAGAGTAGGCCTTTTTATAATTCCATTTAAAACGACTCATTTTACTTCAATAATCAATCTATAGCTGAAAAGAAAAATATTGTACATATGTTACTTTAATATTTCATGTCACTTCAATGCTTTCACCCCTGAAAAAAGACCATGCACCTAATACCCCTAATTGTCTCAAGAACTCTAAATCAGCGTTTCCTAACGGTTTTAAAATCATTTTTCTTTACAGACAACATCCTCTCCTTAAAACAGTCCTACAAAATACAATAACCGTTACCCATGCATCCATGCTATATTACGAGCATTCAACATTAAAGTGCGCTGAATAAATCATATTAAAAACACTAAGCTCTTTTTAGACATTAACCAACACAAACATTCCCAACCAGAAGACAAATTGCCATCAGTTCCAACGCTGAATCATTCCTTCTACAAACTATAACCTCAAAATAACATCAGCTGAGAGGTACTGGCAGACTGGGCTCCTCCTTGGAAAGAGATTATTAGATATCCAAGCGTGGTGGAAACAGTAGAACAGCTTATCTGCAGGAAAGGTGAGAGAGGTCCCTCCCTTAAGGGGTTTGTTTCCCTGGAATGGGACAGTACACCTGCTTAACGAAACTGGAGCTTAAGAGGGGGGGGGGGGGGGGGGGGGGCAAAGAGGAGGAATGCAGATGTGTGTGAGTGAGAGAGTGCTGAGTGAGAGAGAGAGACCCCCCCCCCTCCCTCAGATCCTCAGTAACAATTATAACCAATCAAGTATCAAAGAAGCCTTGATGATACTGCTATTATAGTTAACACACTTATTGTTAAAATGGCCAAACATATTATACCAACCATAATAAAAGGCTTGCATTTCATTAAATCATTTTCTCACACTGTTGATTTACTCAGACCGGTGAAAACAGAGATTACACCATATGTAATTGAATACATTTTTTTATGGACAGCCCTGCATAAACAAATCAATAAAGCCTATTGAATAAACTATTCATTGCTGTACAGGGCAGCTATTCAGGACCAACACTGTGAACATTGAATGAGCCATAATACATAGACACTGTAGTGTCCACATCGCATTCGACCCTCACAGCCTACACCCAAAACCCAGCATATACAGTTAGTGATAATACTAGGGATTAGGTTTTATATACAGCAGCGTAGAGACCCTATTCAAAATGAATGGTCCCCCCATTCATAATCATGCTCTCAACCCCAATCCGGTGGAGATCTGGAATACTAAATTCTGACGCCTTCACAATGGACCACCAGGCCAGGGACTGTCCGCAGGGGCGTCATATTAAAAAGCAAGAGGATCCAAATCGAGGGCTGGATTTGGAAACAGCTGCACAGTATCAATGGGGGGTGAACAGGGCCAGGGCAGAGCAGGGTCCACTATGGCAGAGGCCCCCCGCGGAGTGCAAAGAGGTGGGATGACAAAGATACTCAATAACGGTGCGCTGGGGACACCCTTTTGGACAGGTCCCAAAGGGAGGTAACATATGAGGAGTTGGAGACTAAAGCAAAGAATAAGGAAGATTATGAAGAAAAAAATGGTGATCCAAGAATATGCTCAGCCTACGCATAAAAACGACTTGAGTGCACCACAACATTCAGACTTGTATTGTCCGGTTTCGTTATTAAATGGGAATTCTTAAGCTTTGCTATAGAACATATCCAAACTGAGCTATGGGAGAACTGCAGGAAAATTCCACTTCAAGTGTTTTACCATACCTGAAAACATTGTCCAGCCTTTCTCTGCCTCTCCTGGTCTGGAAGCATTGGTATGTGAAGCACTGTCCCAATCACATCTCATAAACTAGAAGAGCCTATAGAAGAACAGACACTCGGGTTGAAAGAAAATAGCATGTGCTCATCTGTCCACATAAGGAACAAGATCCCTTGCAGTGATGATGCATTAAAATGGGCTAAACAGCAGAACTCATCAATGAACCCCCTTTCCCAGATATTGGGATTGCTTTAAATAGCCAATAGGTTTTTGAAAATAATTCAGAAAAAAAGACACCTTTTATCTGGGTTTATGGGAACCCTTATGGCTAAAATATACAAGTGTATCTGTATTTTAAAAATCCACTTAGAAGACACTCCCTCTTACAGTGCTACATTTTAGGGCCGGGACGATACCAGTATCGCGATACTCATTATCGTGGCAAGGAAACCAAACACGAAGCAGATTTAACTTTAGGAAAACAGCCCTAATGTTGGAAACAAACATGTCATCAAAAGTTGCTTTTATTTATTTTCCAAGCTATAGCATACACTAGTTACATACAGGTTTTTAAAGGACAAAAGAGTTGTCTGCTTCGTGTTTTCATTTTTGCCATGGAAAACAGTGATACAGACCTATTAAAATATTTTTTTTTGTCCACTCTCACTTAAGGAACTTGTAGTTCATTGTGGGTTAATGACTTGCCTGCTGTTGATTTTGAATGTTATGAGCAATGAATACCTATTAGAAGTGATGGACAGTGGACTTGAGTCAAATTGATATTTCAATGCCAATACACCCAAAGCCTTCAGAATCCATCCACTCAATTTAGCAATCCCATCCGGCCTTTTTCAGTCATCAGATATGGGGAAAAACATATGGGAACTCACGGTAGTTACATTTAGTGAGGGGTTGTATATAAATGAAATTAAGACGTCAATTTAAGTCCCTTTTTCAAACGTATTCTATACATGACAACTAAGACACACACTATTGGTATTCTGAACGGTCACCAGGGAATGTTTTGTGACTTAATTCAATCATGGCACATATAGTAACAGTAATTGGGTAAGCTCTTCTCCCTTACAGTCAGTAAATAGACTGCCTTTATATTACCAAGCATCTTCTGGACATACAAACTTGGCACGTGTTGTGTCATGTCTTTCAAGGTATGGTTGTCAAGAGATTACCTAAAAACAAGCCACTGCGACAGAAAGTGAATTTTCCGTAGCAGGTTAGGAAAACTTTTAGCAGGTTAGGAAAACTAACACAGAAGGTTAGGAGAATAAGATTAAGGGTTAGTTAAAATGCTTTAACCTATGAAAAGTCACTTCCAGTCGCAGCAGTTTCAAAAGTGGCGTGTTTTTAGGGAGTCCCGTTGCCAAGCAGAACAATGGAGAGATCGTAAGATACATTTTTTTAACCATGTGTTGAGTTTAACATTATGACATACAGTAACTAATAAAGATGCTATACTTCAACCACAAGAGAGGCTTGCAGAAGGAACATTTATTTGAATTTGTGAACTGGCAAAGCAATGTTCAATAGAAAATATATATCTGTTTATAAAACAATAGTTTTACCTTTATATTTACTTGAGGATAGACGATACTACGTTAGTCTTACAATAGAGCTGAGGAAGGGTTTCACAGTTTAAACCAATGGTAACGTTAACACATAATGGAACGTGACAAAAAGCTTTCAAACGTCACAAAAATAAAATCATTTTAACAGAACACAATAAAGGTAGTCTTTTGACGTTTTTAATACACAGTTACCTGTACACAAGGAAAAAAACACTAAAATTAAACATTTTCAAATTATAATATCCCTTTTCATTAAGCAATGAAGTTAATACTAGATTCAATTCTAACTAATCAATCATACATATGAGATCACACAAAGTAGAAAGAAAAATAATTAAAAAGTTTAGCATTGGACTGTACACAAGTCCAGCGTGTACTGGATGGGGCGTTAGGGAAACTGGGTGGTACCAAATAAGACAATTTTGATCGTAATACTTAGAATATAAAAAACTACAATTAATTATTACACAGGTAGAATCCAGAGGCTTAGCAGTCTTGAATTATTTAGGTACAGAACATACATAAAAACCTAGCATTTCTCATTTTTGTCCATAGCAAGATGCAACATCAAATTTCAAATTACACATTCACGATCTTTGAACATTTTCAGTATGAAAACAGAACAGGGACAGTTTTCCTGCGATAATGACTCCATGAAAAAAAAATGTCTTCGATTTAATTATATATATATTTTAAATAAAATATTTAGTCAAGTATCTGAGAATACATACATAGTTTTACAAGATAGCAAAGGCAAAAAAACTCACAATATGCAACACTCCCCTTTTCCCATATCAGATCATTGTAATAAAAAAGTACCAATTACATTTTCATATGCCTTAAAAAAAAAATCTAAAGAACTACAAGTTAAATGTCTGTCAAAGTATTAGAGAATCCATCTTTGTTTCAAAAATGAAATAAGATATTGCACCTTTTTTAAACCAGAGTACAATAAAATGACAATGAAAAAAATAAAGCACAACAGGAATTAAATTAGGAATTGACTGCCATTTGCCAACATCACTCCTTGTATTTTGTAACAAAATAATATGTTCCTGTAACAAAACATCACAGTTTCATCACTGAATTAAAATGCTTTATGTAAAAGGAAAATAAAACATTTTTACACATTCTTAAAACATCTTATGACAAAACAAAAACAATGTATTCAAGACTGCTAAGCCCATAATTACGATTTTATTGCAACAGAACTAGAAAAAATAGATTATATTGCATTTACTAAAATGTTACAACTCCGGGGTTCGTTTTGGCGATGTAATTTGAATCAAAAAGGAAAAAATAGAAAACAAAACAGCTCTCGCATTAGTCCAAAAGGGATCCCGGGAATTGTCCATTCAAAATAATGGTGTACACAAGTATTTAGTAACAATTAAATGTTCCTGATTTAGAAATATTCTTTTATTTTTTATTGTATAAGTCAGTCTACAGCTAGTGTTTCTCACTAAGAAAAAAGTAAGTCTTCAAGGCGTTGCAAATCTAGAAACCTGTTACAAAAGGTTTGTTTTCATCCTCAGTGATTCAAACATCTTCAACTAAAGGGCGTCCTCTCTAATGATCCTGCAAAACACAGGTTCACGTCAGTGACCAAGCACAGGAATACATTTTACATAGATTTACATGTGCAAGTTACAGTACATATCCTTACAGAAACAATAGTTAAACTCAACTTAACCTAATTGATGCCAGAATGGATTTACATGGGACATTTCATAAAATGTACTTTCAAACCTCCATACTTGAATTAAACCTTGCCTTTAAACCAGGGATCATCAACTACATTCAGCCGCAGGGAGATTCTCTTGAGCGGATGGTCGGGGGACGAAACATAATTACAAATAATTTGTAGACTGCAAATTGACCACAAGAAGCCCAAACAGATATTTGACTAAAACAATCATTTCAAACCTTGCTTACATCCATCTCTCCATTATGCGTGGAAATACTTGGGAACAGATTTCCAAAAATAAAATCACTTGGAGCTGATTTAATGGTGTTATTACAGTCTTTAATGTCCAACAATAAATAAATACAACAAAAAAATATACATTTTTTTTGCTTGGGGGTGGGGGGGGGGGGGGGGGGGGAGACGGCAACAAATAAAACCACTGCAGGCTGCCAGTTGGGGAACCCTGCTTTAAACCATTCAACATTTTCAACCTTCCTCCTAAAGGACTTCCGTTGGCCCCAACAGCCCTCAGGGGGTTGTGGGGTGGAGATGGTGCTGAGCGTTTGGATGGGTTCTCACCTGAAGGCCTGGGGCCTGTGTCTGCTGTGCACCTTGGCCATAGTAGGCCCCCTGTTGTCTGTAATACTCCACCCAGGCAGCACTGTAATCTGGAGGGGAGCTCTGCTGGGAGCCGGGGCCTGCTGCCTGGCCTGGGGAGAGGGGAGATGGAGAGGGTGAATAAGGGGAAGAAGAACATCCTCTGATATGCACTCAAAAGACCAGTCTATTGGAAGAGTGTGGAGGCCACACGGGTGTAGTCTTACTCTGTTTCTTGTAGTATTCCTCCCATGCTTTGCTGTAGTCAGGGCCACTGCTCTGGGCTTGGCTCTGCTGACCTGTGCACAAGATAAAACCCGGGTCAATACGATACACACCAAACAGGCTACCAATACCTCCCTGATTAATGTTCGGCTCCATAAATTCAATTTCTTCGACTCAAATAGATTCAGTTAATCAAACAAAAGCCAATTTACATTGCTGATCAAATCAAGAAGCAACATAACCATGTAACCAAAATGGTCAACTTTTGACTTCAATCATCGCAGTCAAACAAAACCGTTCTTGCGTATCAATTATAAGTTGACATGATATTTCTACTCAGACACTCTTGGCATGGAACTTTTTAAAACGAGGGCAGAGGGAAGGTTTGAGGTCTGGTTCAGGTGTATACAGGGCACAGACAGGTATTTAACAGGTGGGTCACCAGTGGGGGCCAACTGCCCCCAGGCACCCCAAACCAACCAGGAAGCCAGTCTCAAAGAGAAAGGCTCAGTCAGCACTCACTTGCAAAAAACCTACTATGCAACTACAAGCCCTGAGAGAGAGGCTAGGACCAGTGACTCAAGACTTAGTAATGTTACACAAGCGAGAAAGGCTAGTAGACCATGTTAGTATTGAGCTCCCTTCTGTTCTCCCCCAGAAGACTGGCACTTGCCTAGCTTTTTATAATACTGCTCCCATGCTTTGGAATAGTCCATCTGGCCGGTCTGGGATCCATTGAGACCTGCAACCAGACACAGATAACACTGTTGGAGGACAGAGTTACTGCATGAGGACCTTTCAGTGGAGGTTGAGGCTATGGCTTACCATCCAGACATGGCCCTCTATGTCCTATGGATTTAGGCCTCTACCCCATACCCTAACTTAACCCAAACACTAACTAGAACTTCCATGGAGTGAAAGTTACCTTTGAAAAGTTTCCTCCCCACTTGACTCTCTGCCAGAATGGGACATTTTTTCCCCCCAGCCAGTATCTGGACGGTTAGCCACATTTTGAATGCAAGAACTACCTTGCCGTTGTCTTGAGTTGAATTTAAATGCACTGCAGCAGTGCCAAAACAAGTCTTGAATCTCCAATTCCTTGTGTCCTCAGAAATTGCTGTTCTTGTTAGAGAAATAACATTGTGTTGCTTCAGTCCGCTCAGCAAGCAGAGCAGAGAGCATGAAACATGGCTAATTTTAGTCCTCCTTCCACTTATGTGTCCTCTTTCCTTTCACTGGGGAGGGACTGTTATGCCCCACATGATTTTGATTGCATAGACTCCGTATGTATCAAGGAATCATTGCAGTGAAATTGCAGGCTGATATTGCTATCAAGTGTTCTGGGTATCCCACCCTAACCACAATGGGATGAGGCCATCCCAGCCATTAGTTTGAGAGAAGCAGGTAGACTTACTGGGGTCCTGCTGGCCCTGAGGCTGCCATGTCTGATATGTTGTGCCCCATCCTCCTGTCATGAATGTCTGGGGTCCACTGCCACCACAAAACACAGACGCATGTTAGACAGTTTTCATATTTATATCAATTGTTGTAGCCTGGGTATTGTTTACATCATTGAATTCATACTTTGGTCAGTGTAAGTATTATCCAAGAAGGTAGTTCAAGGCAAGTTTGACAAATGTAACAGTGGTAAAAGGTGGGGAAACCAAGACGCTACTCACTTCTGATGAGGGGTAGCTGGTCCTTGGCCGAAGGGGTTCAGACCAAAACTGCTGTTGCCCCCCATTCCTGAGGCCTAGATGAGAGAGTGGAACATACTTGGTTAAACTGGGGGGTGAAAAGGCAAGGCCAAAGGGCAGCGCTGGCCACTGACGCACTCCATTTGATGGATTCTTCATGTTTTTATTTTATTTAACCTTTTTTTTTTGACATGGGAGTCAATGCTGAGACCAAGGTCTCTTTTCCAGATGATCCCTGTATAGCACCACAATACAATAAACACATTACCTACACATTCATATACACAATAAATTAAGTATGGGTTTTAAAATCAGTAAGGGCTTACTGCACTTCTGCAAAATCAGACAGTAGCCTTGTCACAGCCAGGTCAACAGTCGAGGCAATTGCATACATAATAGTATCATCCGCATATAGATTACATTTACAATGAATAGATTGACCTATAGCATTTGAATAAATAGTGAAAGGAACAGGTCCTAGTATCGACCCCTGCGGAACACCTTTATGTACTTCAAGAAACTCTAATTTAACCCCATCAATCACTATGGCCTGAGTTCTGTCACTAAGAATCATGAACAGGCGTCAGAGCTCAGGCCTATCGTTTAACCCCGGGTGACATACTGGTGGATGGTAGGGCCACAAGAACCAGTCGCACCCCCCTTTGATATGTGCCCTCATGAATATCAGGCCAGACAATAGATTTGGGGGGGAGGAGGGGGGCATAAGACCACCTACCCCAATCTTCTCATCGATCAGCTGGCGGGCCATCTCCATCTGTTGGGGGGTGCCGCGGATGGAGAAGACGCGCACGTTGGGGTCGGTGTTGGGCGGCGGGTTTCTCTGCAGCTCCACGTGCGCTCCGGACTGCTGGTTGATGTTCTTGATGGTTTCTCCACCTTTAGGAAAGGGGAAATTCAAAACATGAGTTCATGGCAAGTCAGCAACAAGTGTCAATTTGACCTCCAATCAGTTAGTGAAAAGCTTAAAACAGTGCTTACTCTGCTGTCTGATTCCAATCTTTAGGCTTCAACACACCTACCTAAACTCATCCGACTGGACGTTAGACTGGTAGTGATACCTATAGAGACCCTGGCATGTCCTACAGCTCCGTCCCCATTCTATTTGAACATCCGTGCTAATCAGAGACAAAGGACGACAACCCTTCCTCCCCCATGCTGACGAATCAGACGGAAGCTTCCTGACTTAAGGAGCGCAATTAAACCAGCGGGAAGAAATTAAGCATAGCTGGGGGAGAAGAGACAAATTAAAGCGTATCCTCTTTTTTGGATATCGTTTGTCTCCTTTGGCCCTTTCCTTTCCCGGCCTCATGTGTGGTGAGGGAAGGGGGGATACAACCTCTTCCCCCTTCTCCTACCATCCCAGTGAAAGGAGCGAGGGGGCTTCCCAAGGGGACACCAGGGCTGTCCCAACATCAATTACACATTTTTTCACTGGTAGCAAACACTGGCTGACCTCGCAGTGAAAAGGCTCATCCAAACCTCTCCTCCTCCCGTAGCCTCTTCCTGTTGCCAATAGACTACACATGGGTCATTAACCCATTGTCAACCAAATGAAACTTCTGCCTTAATGAAGCCATTATGAGGTCCCCCAGTCAGAGAGCAAAGGGGACTGAAGAGCCACACTATTCATTTCATGGACTGGACCTCGCTGGGGCCACATCATATGACCTTAACGAGACTGGTTTAGTGAGCTGGACCAAAAGGAGGGGATACAAAGTGCAACTGGTGAGGGATTTAGAGTAAGGGGGGAGGTTTAATTAACAGACAAGTTCATGAAGAATAGTTCTTAGGCACTTAAAAACCATGCTTACCCACTCATCTAAAACTATTGACATATGGGTCTTGAAAGAAATGTAAAAGCCAAATGCAGGACACTATACCATTGAATATTTAAATAAAAAACCAGTAGGCCTGTAGTTCAACCCGTTATAAAAAGTTTGAAAGTTGAGAAGCTAAAGCATGGGGTATGGGTGGGAGACCAAAGTAACCAGGCTGTGTGTGAATTGGGGGGAGGGTGTAATCAGTGGGTCAAGCAGCTGCATAAAGGCATCGCAAAGATATGAATCACCTCAGTCTTTAAGGCTGACAGGGCCCAGACCCACAGCCATATTGGACTAGTTCATATGCTAATGAGGGGGGGGGGGGCAACGGCCACGTTTATTTGCCCCGCGCACAAAAGCCACTTGACATTTCTATTGCCTTGTTTCGATCATAGGTAGAGAGCTCCCTTCGAACCACGCCCACCACGGCGCACACATCCATCCATAGGACACACTCAGTTTCCTCCGAAGCGCAATGGTCAATGACTTTTAAATAGCTGGCAACAGAGTGAGCATGAATAGCCAATAATCTAATTCCTCTCATTCATTCCCTCACTCCACTCTCTTGGGCTGAAAGGGCCTCATTAGATAACAGGCAACCTTCCACGTGGGGGCTGTTATTATGAACTTTTAACAATTAATGTCACATTATATGCATTATCCCTGTCATTAAGCCCTAAGGGAAGGGACAGAATACCACTTGTGCTGTATACATGAGCCAGGGGAGGGGGGGTGAGGGGGTGGCTGGAGGGGAGGATGGGTAACTGGACGCACACCATATTGTCTCATTGTGCAACTTTAAAATGGCATTTCACCACGATAGAAAAAGCAAACTAATGGACTGGCAATGATGCACTTTGGGCATAATCAAGGCTTTTGAAGAATTTTCCTGTGTTTTATTATACACTGCTCAAAAAAATAAAGGGAACACTTAAACACAATGTAACTCCAAGTCAATCACACTTCTGTGAAATCAAACTGTCCACTTAGGAAGCAACACTGATTGACAATACATTTCACATGCTGTTGTGCAAATGGAATAGACAACAGGTGGAAATTATAGGCAATTAGCAAGACACCCCCAATAAGGACTGGTTTTGCAGGTGGTGACCACAGACCACTTCTCAGTTCCTATGCTTCCTGGCTGATGTTTTGGTCACTTTTGAATGCTGGCGGTGCTTTCACTCTAGTGGTAGCATGAGACGGAGTCTACAACCCACACAAGTGGCTCAGGTAGTGCAGCTCATCCAGGATGGCACATCAATGCGAGATGTGGCAAGAAGGTTTGCTGTGTCTGTCAGCGTAGTGTCCAGAGCATGGAGGCGCTACCAGGAGACAGGCCAGTACATCAGGAGACGTGGAGGAGGCCGTAGGAGGGCAACAACCCAGCAGCAGGACTGCTACCTCCGCCTTTGTGCAAGGAGGAACAGGAGGAGCACTGCCAGAGCCCTGCAAAATGACCTCCAGCAGGCCACAAATGTGCATGTGTCTGCTCAAACGGTCAGAAACAGACTCCATGAGGGTGGTATGAGGGCCCGACGTCCACAGGTGGGGGTTGTGCTTACAGCCCAACACCGTGCAGGACGTTTGGCATTTGCCAGAGAACACCAAGATTGGCAAATTCGCCACTGGCGCCCTGTGCTCTTCACAGATGAAAGCAGGTTCACACTGAGCACATGTGACCAGACGTGACAGAGTCTGGAGACGCCGTGGAGAACGTTCTGCTGCCTGCAACATCCTCCAGCATGACCGGTTTAGCGGTGGGTCAGTCATGGTGTGGGGTGGCATTTCTTTGGGGGGCCACCATGTGCTCGCCAGAGGTAGCCTGACTGCCATTAGGTACCGAGATGAGATCCTCAGACCCCTTGTGAGACCATATGCTGGTGCGGTTGGCCCTGGGTTCCTCCTAATGCAAGACAATGCTAGACCTCATGTGGCTGGAGTGTGTCAGCAGTTCCTGCAAGAGGAAGGCATTGATGCTATGGACTGGCCCGCCCGTTCCCCAGACCTGAATCCAATTGAGCACATCTGGGACATCATGTCTCGCTCCATCCACCAACGCCACGTTGCACCACAGACTGTCCAGGAGTTGGCGGATGCTTTAGTCCAGGTCTGGGAGGAGATCCCTCAGGAGACCATCCGCCACCTCATCAGGAGCATGCCCAGGCGTTGTAGGGAGGTCATACAGGCACGTGGAGGCCACACACACTACTGAGCCTCATTTTGACTTGTTTTAAGGATATTACATCAATGTTGGATCAGCCTGTAGTGTGGTTTTCCACTTTAATTTTGAGTGTGAAGGTATTTAATAAGATTATTTGATTCATTCAGATCTAGGATGTGTTATTTTAGTGTTCCCTTAATTTTTTTGAGCAGTGTATATTTATACACTATGAGGTTGGATTAATTCTGTGAAAATGATAATGCCCTTTTAGTGTAAGAACTCTTTGATGGGACGGAGTTTTGGCCTGCCTGGTGATGTCACCAGGTGGTAAATTAGTTAATAGTCCAATAAGAGTTCCAAACCTTCAGTTTTACCCTTCCCACTCAGACCACTCCCAGCAAAATTCTTGCTTGAGAAATTGCTTTGCTAAGAAGCTACACTACATGGCCAAAAGTATGCGGACACCCCTTAAAATTAGTGGAATCAGCTATTTCACCCACACCCGTTGCTGACAGGTGTATAACATCAAGCACACTGCCATGCAATCTCCATAGACAAACATTGGCAGTAGAATGGCCCGTACTGAAGAGCTCAGTGACTTTCAACACGGCACCGTCATAGGATGCAACCTTTCCAAAAAGTCAGTTTGTCACATTTCTGCCCTGCTAGAGCTTCCCCGGTCAACTGTAAGTGCAGTTATTGTGAAGTGGAAATGTCTAGGAGCAACAACGGCTCAGCCGCGAAGTAGTAAGCCACACAAGCTCACAGAATGAGACCCGAGTGCTGAAGCGCGCAGCGCGTAAAAATGGTCTGTCCTCGGTTGCAACACTCACTACAGAGTTCCAAACTGCCTCTGGAAGTAACGTCAGCACAATAACCGTTAGTCGGGAGCTTCATGAAATGAGTTTCCATGGCCGAGCAGCCGCACACAAGCCTAAGGATTGAAGCTCCCGACTAACGGTTATTGTGCTGACGTTACTTCCAGAGGCAGTTTGGAACTCTGTAGTGAGTGTTGCAACCGAGGACAGACTATTTTTACGCGCTGTGATGAATCACGCTTCAGTGATGAATCACGCTTCAGTGATGAATCACGCTTCACCATCTGACAGTTCGACGGACTAATCTGGGTTTGGCGGATGCCAGGAGAACGCTATCTGCCCGAATGCATAGCGCCAACTGTAGAGTTTGGAGGAGGAGGAATAACGTTCTGGGGATGTTTTTCATGGTTCGGGCTAGGCCCCTTAGTTCCAGTGAAGGGCAATCTTAACGCTACAGCATACAATGACATTCAAGACGATTCTGTGCTTCCAACTTTGTAGCAACAGTTTGGGGAAGGCCCTTTCCTGTTTCAGCATGACAATGCCCCGGTGCACAAAGCGAGGTCCATACAGAAATGGTTTGTCGAAATCGGTGTTGAAGAACTTGACTGGCCTCCACAGAGCCATGACCTCAACCCCATCGAACACCTTTGGGATGAATTAGAACGCCGACTGTGAGCCAGGCCTAACCGCCCAACATTGCCCAACCTCACGAATGCTCGTTACTGAATGGAAGCAAGTCCCTGCCGCAATGTTCCAACATCTAGTGGAAAGCCTTCCAAGAAGAGTGGAGGATGTTATAGCAGCAAAGGGGGGAACCAACTCCATATTAATGCCCATGATTTTGTAATGAGATGTTCGACAAGCAGGTGTCCACATACTTTTAGCCATGTAGTGCATTTGTCTGTATTTTTCACAATTTTAATTAAAACAATAACAGTAAGGTACTTAATTGTTACCCAGAAATATTTTGATATTGAGATAAAATCGGCTGTATTGGACCTTTGCGTGATGAAGACCACTGGTCAAGAAATAATGAACTGAAAGATTAAGTGCTCCATTAGAGGTTGGTTTTCCCTGAGTAGGCACAGTTGGGGGACGTGCCTTTACACATCTCTACATTAGTACCTATTTGTCCATACATTCAAAAGGATACTTAAACTGGTTATTGGTTGACTGAAATGCATCCATATGATGACTGATAAAGATTGTTGTTGGTAATGGATCTTGACACCACCAAACGTAAAACTCGCTGAATCATTTACAAGGCGTTTGCATTCTCACCTTTCCCAATCACCAGGCCACACTTGTCGGCAGGTATCGTGTATGTCACTTCCTGCAGTCCACCGGGCGCGCCCATGTTCCAGTCCCCGCGGCCTCTGCCCCGGCCTCTGGGCCCCACGGAACCCCCAAAGCCATCCCGATCCTGTAGAGAGGAAACAAAAGTAGTGACTACAGGCTCCTGAAGACCTCAAACATGACATTACACATCTTACACTCTTCAACCATTCCCCTATAACATTCCCCCGCCGAAGTATCACCAGTGCAGCCGTGTCTGACGCCAAACAAAAAAAATGCAATAGTTCCGATTTTGACAGGCATTCTTATCTCCTCAAATGCATTTGACTTGCATTACTTTACCTTGGGCTCAATAAAAAGAGTAAACCAAGTGTACCACCATGTGGGAGTCTGTATGGACTATGCTCCAGGGTTGGAGACATGCCTCAGAGAGACTAGGCTCATCCTCCTAGTGTACGTTCTGTGCTCAGGGGCAGTAGGTCAGGTGACAGAGAGGAACTAGTGATGAGGTGGAGACCCACTGCCCTTTTACCTGTCTGTACACCTGTCTGAGAAGGTCCCCCCCACCACCCAGCCACAGGGCTAAGGGGTTCAGGGAGGCCTGAGAGGGGGCCAGGCTGGACCTGTCCGGGAGCCAGCCAGCTAGGGACTGGGCTGGGGACTGCTACATGGGCAACAAGGGAGTTTAAGGGGGCATGGCTTACTTTAGAAATACAGCAGGAGTGAACCAATCATCTGATACATTTCCTAAGGGGTTGTTGTTCCTTTCAGGGCATTTAAAAAATAATTAAGTGTAGTGGTCTGCAGTGCTGTACCTGTGCAGTGTGTACCAGCTCGTTGATGAGGTGAACCGCATGCTGGCAGCGGTCAGGCTGGCCCATCACCTGGGCAATCCGGTCGGGGCTGATGCCATCGTCTGAAGGAGAGGGGGACACTAGTCAGAACTGTTACATTAGAAGACAACATGTTTAGTCATGTCACAGACATCACACACATATTGTATTACATAATGTGTCATCAAGACCACCTTGTCTGAGTCAATTGAAGAACAAGACCGGCAAACAAGACCGATTGGAGATCGATTTAAGATAGAGGCCATCACTAATCTTGACAATTGTATTAGCCATCTAGCACAATGGAAAAAGCCTTTAGTAGAGGAGGGCGGTCTCACCTGGTTTGAACTGGATCCTGACCCCAGAGTCATTCTGGATCTTCTTGATCATCTCTCCGTTCCTGCCAATGACGATGCCCACAGCGAACCTGGGCACTGCCACATCCAGGCTGCTTCCCCCCAGTCTGGATCCAAAGTCTCCCCTGTTGGCCCGGAAGTCTCCCTGGTCCTTGTCCCGGATGATCTCTACCACCAGCTCTCGTGCTTGCTGCAAAACACCCACGCCCCCCCCAGCACAGAGAGGGTTAACTTAGAACATCTAACTGTGATATACAAAAAGGTTGATTGATACCTTGAATCCTCTCCCCTTGCCTCCTTAAAACACATTGGCCTACAATGTTTTCTCCTCCGACGTGTTTTTATAAGCAGGCATGGAGCGAGGATATGAAGGAGGGTAGCCAGGTTTGAGAGACTGACTGACCGACCTGCACTTTGTAGGGGTCCCCAGTGATTCTGAGGGGTTTGTCTGCTCCAGTGGGCATAGGTCCGTCCTGGATCATGATCATTTTCACGCCTGTTCTCTCCTGTGGGGCGCAAACAGGGAACACAAGATCAACACAAATTCACACATTTTGGCTCGATTGAAAAATAATCACGGTTTTCGATTTTGATCATTTTTTTAAACATTAAATGCACTATGCATTATGTGGGTTAATACTGTAACAAAAAACAATTAATATAAGTCCCATGATGGTAGTGACTGCCCATTACTGCTTATCACTTATTAACCAACATTTATTCACATTACTTTCCTAAATTATTTCAGTTTATTACATTAGTTTTATATGATGACTATTTCATTCCAAGTCATCTCAGCTCTATAGAGCTGCTTCCTATGCTGTCTGACAAAATCACTATTGTCTAGAAAAGTTTTGTGGTCCTCTGTAGCTCAGCTGGTAGAGCACGGCGCTTGTAACGCCAAGGTAGTGGGTTCGATCCCCGGGAACAAAAATGTATGCACGCATGACTGTAAGTCGCTTTGGATAAAAGCGTCTGCTAAATGGCATATTATTATTATTATTATAAAAAGTAAATGACTGCTAAATGCCAACTATCAATCACTTAGATCATGTATTTTCAGGTAGAGATCCCTCGCGAAGCAACAGCTGCTCTCTATCACCTCACGATTGTGCTACTCTTCTCTCTTCCATAGCAGGCGTAAAAGAAACAGACTGGACAAGTAGATGCGCAATGGATTATGGTAATTTACTTAATTACCACATTTTATACGCAAAACTATGTAGAATATTGGCCTGTTGGAAAGTACAACTCCCTACTGCATCGCACAGTTCAGGCTGGATCTGATTGACTTGAACGAAATGGAATTCAAATAACTGAACGATGTCGTCAATTAGTTGAAAATGTTGTTTAATGGCTCAGCACTTTCTTCCATCGAGAACGAGACAAAAAATGTAGGCTACACTGCCTATTGGCTTCTTTGCATATTCACAAAAAATAATTACGCAATCAGGCTGATGCAACAGATAAAACCGTTCAGCTTAAAATGTTGATAAAGTTTTATTTATTCATATTATAAGCTCAACAATGCGCACATGGCTGTAGGCCAGGGCAATTCAACTGGTGGCACGCGTGCCAGATTCAGCCCCTTTATTTATACTGGCCCTTTGATCAACTCTGAACATTAATAAAAGACATGCAAAAAAAAAAAAACACGTGAAAATCTGACGTTCACTGCCAAAATGACAAGCACCATGGTTTCTAGCATTTTTATACATGTGGAAAATGTGCGGCACCCCTGCAACTAACTTTTTTTTTTTTTTACATTTATTCGAATATAGTCGAATAGCCCTGCTGTAGATTATGTGCCAAAATGCAATTAGCAGGAAAACACCATTCTCAAAAGCGCGAGAGGTTTCATGTGACATAGATGAAAATATTCATTAGAAATTAAGAAAGAGGGGAGATCTAAAGATGCATCAACTAGCATGGGTTACTAATATGACTAGGCTTATGCCTTTGGCTGCTGGACAATAACATTTGGATGATTTGAAAACCAATACAACATGAGAAAAATGCTGGTTTCAATGGCGTATCAAGTGTTTATAGAGTAACTCCCTCAACATTTATATGGTCATATTTTGGCTAGGCTACTTTGAAACAAGACATGCTTCACAAATTGACGAAACGTCCAGGTTTTAAACAATTAAGTTTATGGTTAAACAGTTTCAAAATGCTGACCGCCTCCGCTCAGATTCCAAGTGGTTGACGTGCGGTGTGCAACAGGCACCGTCCTTCACTCGCCGGTCTTGTGACTATTCGACCTGAACGAACCGTGCCTCGAGTATGTTGACAGAATCGAGCCTTTAGAAGTTAATGTCCTTCATTATATTTGTCAAACATGACTGGCGTTTAGCTTATATTTATTCAATTAAAAGTCTCATTAAAGTTTGGCTACATTTTCTGCCGCCTCCCTCATGTCCGCATCGGTTTGGACATGAGGCTGTAGCCACGTAGGATTTTTTATTTATGTACATTATTTTTGTGTGTGAATATTATTCCAATGTTGGCTCGATATTGTGATGTATTATTTTTCTATCCATTCCGACAACTTAAATCTATATTCTTCTTGTCCCGACTATTTGTTAAACTTTTTTTTACTTAATGTTGAGCCCTGCAGTTGCATAAGAACACTTTCTCTGTAGCTCAGCTGGTAGAGCACGGCGCTTGTAACGCCAAGGTAGTGGGTTCGATCCCCGGGACCACCCATACACAAAAATGTATGCACGCATGACTGTAAGTCGCTTTGGATAAAAGCGTCTGCTAAATGGCATATTATTATTATTATTTTTAAGCCACTAAATAAATCACTAAGAAAGTGTATGTTCTAAGTGCATGTGTGCGTCATCCACAGACCACATAATCTACTCGAAGCACCTAGTGCCCCCCTACCTGCAGTTGTTTGATGGTGTCCCCTCCCTTGCCGATGACCAGGCCCACTTTGCTGGCAGGGATTAGGATCTCCTGGATGGCGCTGTTGCCGTCCATCTCGCTGTGGAAGCCTGGGCCGTTTCGACACCGGTCCACGATCTGGCTCAGCAGCCTCTTGGCCTGCCTGGTGGGAGAGGGGCACAGTCCACCGTCATGTATATGTTCATGGTCAGCCACATCATACATAAACTATACATAGTGGGTTTCTCCATTTGCAAAAACAAGATATTGAATAGTGTCAAGAAGTGATTGTTGAGGGGGTAACTCAACATTAATCTGGTGAAGGTGATTAGGGTCGAGTTGAGGGCAGCCTCGTTGCTGATAGAAATGTATTGTCCATCAAGTAGAGTAATCATGTTAGCTCTATATGCAACATTTCTATCTGATCGCCATACATACATAACTTTGGTTGCAAGTCCCTGGGAGAATCTCAATTGCATACGCCCTGCGTCCTCTCCTTGCCTCCTTCTCAAGACCCTTTAGAGGAGAAAGTCAGAGGGGAGGGACTTCAGGCGTTCTCATCCAATGGGTTTTGAGAAGGAGGCGAAGAGAAGACACAATGAGTATGCAATTGAGATTCTTCCCGAGAGGAATGTGGTGTGACTTACTCAATGTTCTCTGGGCTTCCAGTCAGGGTGCAGGGCCTGTCCATCATGCCTCCGCTGTCTGTTATACAACACACAGCTCCATTAACCAGACAAAACATGCACCCACACATACATTTGTCTTTCTAGAAATAAAAATCGGGCCAATGTGTGACATTGGGATCAACATTTTAAAATGGTTTGAAAAATAAATAGAACACTTCGATTTTTATGCAGTTCCACGTGTACAAGTGCATATATACCAAATTGGCCCAAAACTCCACCCAACATCGGCCTAGGACTATAAATATCCTTTAAAATAGCAGGTGTAAGACACCAAAATGTATTTGTCATTTCATAACCTGATCATATTGTGAATAAGCCCACTAGGCTACTATGTCATTTGTCGTCATTCTAATATCCAGAATAATGGAAAGGAATATAGCGTTAGGTGTTGCGCAACAGTCTATCCTACACAAATGAACACAGTAGACCGTGTCCAATCAGAAGCAGAGAAACATACGTTAACATGAAGCTTTCTGTTCAATCTAACGAGACACTGCTGTAAATCAAGCAGACAACAGATGATCAATTTGCTAGGGATATTCAACCCATCGTGGATCACGGCACAACTGTCTTCATCGACATAACGAATGAGACACCAAAACATTCTGGACATTACTTGCGAACACTGTTTTTCCTGCACTTTGGCTGTTCCATCGCGTGCTGTATCACAACAGCTGTTTGTCACCCTGGATCAACTGATGTGTAAAAATATCACAATGTAACTAAACTGCTGGACATCAAATGCGCATTCAAGTATTATGCATGACTATTGACAAACCACGTCAATGACAGTATAGATTTTGGTTTTAAGTATTGGTTAGAAGCTGTCGATTTTGCTATCACATACATTATTTTAGATTTGTGTGCCCATGAAAACAGTTTACAAGCTGAAACATAAGAAAACACTCAATGTTACATACACTGAACAAAAATATGAACGCAACATGTAAAGTGTTGGTCCCATGTTTCATGAGCTGAAATAAAACATTACATTTTTACATTTTAGTCATTTAGCAGACACTCTTATCCAGAGCGACTTACAGTTAGTGAGTGCATACATTTTTCATACTGTGAAACATCCCAGAGATTTTCCATACACATATGGATTTTACATCCCTTTTAGTGAGCATTTCTCTTTCGCCAAGATAATCCATCCACCTGACAGGTGTAGCATATCAAGAAGCTGATTAAACAGCATGATCATTACACAGGTGCACCTTGTGCTGGAGACAATAAAAGGCCACTAAAATGTGGTTGTCACAACGCCACATATTTCTCAAGTTGAAGGAGCGTGCAATTGGCATGCTGACTGCAGGAATGTCCACCAGAGCTGTTGCCAGAGAATTGAATGATTTTTAGAGAATTTGGCAGTATGTCCAACCTGCCTCATAAGCACAGACAACATGTGACAATGCAAGCCTAGGACCTGCATATCAGGCTTCTTCACCTGCAGGATCGTCTGAGACCAGCCACCCGGACAGCTGACGAAACTGAGTATTTCTGTCTGTAATAAAGCCCATTTGTGGGGAAGAACTCATTCTGATTGGCTGGGCCTGGCTCCCCAGTGTGTGGGCCTCCCATGCCCACCCATGGCTCCACCCCTGTCCAGTCATGTGAAATCCATAGATTAGGGTTGAATGAATATTACAATTGACTGATTTCCTTATATGAACTGTAACTCAGTAAAATCTTTGAAAATGTTGCATTTATATTTTTTCTCAGTATAGTTACCGCATTTCAGAGATAGCCAGACAAAAAGACTGTACGAAAGCTAAATCCGGGATTCTTACCAGGATCAAATTCAATGTATTTTAACTGATAAATAATACATATATAAACGACAAAGACTGCCATAAACGCAAGATAAGAAAAAAACCATGAGAAAGGGTTTTCCACTGCAGGAAATCCTCACTGGTACCCTAGTTTATAGAAAGACCCACATATGCACATAAACCTCCATGTTAACAACCTAAGTGCTACCTTCTTATTATTTATGAATGTTTATGAAGTCACATACTAATTTCACTACAAAATACCACATCAAGGAATTCATTGGGGGCGTATGTTTGGGATTTGACAAGGCTTCAGTTTCTCTCAGCTGAACCTGTTGAGCAGGGTATATCATTATCATGCCTCGTACTCCGGGTGTGCTTCTGGCTATCACCGATCAGAGGAAATACCTAACTAGCTACTCCGTGAAGTACCGACACAACTGACTACAGCATAATGGGACAGTGTCTCTTTAGGCAGAACTTACCTGCAGCAATCTGGATCTTGCAGCCTGACTCTAACTGAATTCTCGTGATCTGCTCTCCTCCTCTTCCAATGACTGAGTGTGGGTGAGAGGGGAATTACAAAAGGTCAATATCCCAGCCCAAGTTAGCTTAAAATGACACTAAACAGTAAATGTGAGTACTATAAGTTGGAGTAAACCAATAGCTTTTGTTATCAACTGCCCAAAAGCTTCACTTACTGAATCCAACCATCTTATCAGGCACTTTGAAGTCCTCTGTCATAATAGCCCTGCAAGAGACAAAGACAATCAATGACAAAAGGGTAAATATCTGCTGTGATGTATGGCCGAATTAGAAATGATAGGATAGTCGTCTCATACTCAAAGCTTGAAGGGATAGTTCACCCCCAAAGCAAATATCCATCTTGTTAGATGGCGCCCATATTCCCCATTCAATTGGATTGAAGCCTGCAGATCTCTACACAACATGGACTCTGCTCAACATGTTTTTTTAAAAATCTTTATTTAACTAGGCAAGTCAGTTAAGAACAAATTCCTATTTACAATGACAGCCTACACCAGCCAAACCCGGACGACGCTGGGCCAATTGTGCGCTGCCCTATGGGACTCCCAATCACGGCCAGTTGTGATACAGCCTGGAATCGAACCGGGGGTCTGTAGTGACGCCTCAAGCACTGAGATGCAGTGCCTTAGACAGCTGCGCCACTCGGGAGCCCTGAGATGAGATCACTTTTAAGGCATGAAAACCTCTGACAAACCTTAGATGGGGAGAGCTACCTCTTAAATGAATGACATTATGTGCCAAGTCTGGTAACAAGATAAACCACAGAGCTGCATGGAGAACACATAGGCCAAGACATTGGCCTATCTGAGACGTGTTACTGGATACACGGGCAGTAGTGAGGGTGGCAACTTGATTGAGCTACTGTTAATCAATATCTACACCCCCCCCCCCCCATATCTAAGTTCACATCAATACAAATAGTCATTTGAGAAGATAAGGCTCACCTTTGATGTACCATTCCACCCAGCTGGTTACCTACTGAGAAACAACAAGGAAGAATAGAGAGGGTTAGAGAAAAGGGCAAAACGATAGACAGGTTAGCTGACATCACAAAAACCATTCACTCGCTTCAAAGGGGCAGAAGGCCATGTGCTTTGGTTCTGGATAGCCAGCAACAATGACAAGAAACTGCCATGTGGTGAATCGTAAGTGGCTCGTTTGATCTTGTTCTTGATACCATGTCTTGTTTTGATGTGTTTTGACTGATATCACGTCTATGCTAATATTGCTAAAATTTGCTAGCTAACAACTGACAAGTGCTCATTGTGCAAATTTAATTATGTTTTCAATAAACTAAACATTGGACTAAATCATTTACATGACACCAACAATCATTGCAAAACTGAATAAAACAAGGTCAAAACAATTGTTGCTGCAGAACTGAGGAGTGACAAGGTGGATTGGACGGAAACAGATGGAGATGGTTCTGTCAATACAGTAGTGATTGGGGAAAATCTATACAGTTACATATCGCAATATTATTTTGGACAATAATGTAAATCGATACTTTGACTCCAAGTATTGATTAGTAAAAATAAATGTTGTTTGGTAGCGTTAGCTAGCGCTAGACAGCTGTACCTGCACCAAAACTCCAGTATTTTTCAGCCTATAGCTTGTCCTCCACCTTTTTAAACAGTGAGTCAACATGTTTTCAGCACTTTTATTTTCATGTTCTCATGATCTCTTGTCGCTCTGCAGCAGACATAGTGAGCAATATGTTTGGAACATCAAATCTTAAAATATCGAATCTCAATGCATATAGAATCATATGGTATCTGCACCCAAGTACGGTGATTATATTGTATCGTGAGGTCCCTGGCAATTTCCAGTGTGTCAGTGTCAACACACAGCAGGGGGGTGCACTGCTATGGAAATGAGATGTGTATGGGTGTCGTTCAGAGAGGTAGTACCTGGGTCAATGGTTATCGGCCCAGACTTTCATTTTGACAGGTAGCAATATGCAGTGGGCTTAAAGGATATGGAGCTACTGACGGAACACCATAAACTCATATCTACGTTCACTAAAGCTTACGTCGTTTGCACATATTTGGTTGATGGAAATGCAATGAGGTAAAGAAGTGAAATGCCTTAGCCAGCAGGTCCGACCCGCTTGCTTAAAGCTGCACTAGGGTCGGACAGCACCGCGGAGCCGGCACAAGATATGGCTCGGGAAAAGTACCACAATCCAGGGATAAGAAATGCGTTGTACTTCGAATTGTCCCATTATCCCAACTGTTACACTGAGAAGATTGAACGACTGCTAGTTTTCTGAGCCATATCTCGCGCCGGCTCTGTGGTGTCTTAATCTACACAGGAATGCTGTCGGACAATAGTGCAGCTGTAAGCAAATGGGTCGGATCTGCTGGCTAAGAATGCCTATAACTATTCAGTGTATGATGTGGTGTCAATTCACACAATGACATTACACTGCAAAGGACTTGCGCTTAGCCTAAAATGGTGTTAATGGTAATGACAGATATAATATTTATACAGTGTAACAGCCGACTATTACATTTCAAATTGTGTAACCTTGAGAAACAAAAAAGCACAAAGTGTTGAAAACAAGTGAGTTAGCCAGCCAAACCTCCACCAGAATTGCACACAACTTATTCAGCAATGCATTTGGAGCTAAAATATCATACCACACCATGACAAGATAAGAGGACAATAACTGAATGGAGTTTCCGCTTCATGGACATGAAATTGCTCACATCTGCATTTTGGGTGCATACGGGTAGCCACACGCATCATTGCACCATTCTGCAAAAGCCCCACCCTTACGGGGTAACTACAATTTCAGGTGCCTAACTGAAAATGCAGATGCAAATATTTGTTACATTTCTAGTTTGCCAGGTTTGAAACGGCAAGCCCAAACAGAATTGAGCTGAATTGTGAACAGAGGGCTTCAAAGCTAAAATGCATAGTAAACCTTGATTACACTGACTCGTGACCATCAGACAAGACCTCTCTCAGCCCCTTATTACATTAGGCCAAGCCCTTTCCTATTCTATAAAATCCCGATTTCAAATGCTTGGACAGAACAGCTTCCTCTTGGAGAGGCTGAAGTTAAGTCATGAGTAAAGCCTTACATAAGGTTTAGCTGCCGTATGTTGCTCCTGCTTTTACTGGGCCTGTAAGAACGGAATTTTCCACATCAAGGCTTTTTTCGCCCATGAACTGGTCTCATCTTATCCCTGCAATTCCTTCAGGGGGCTGGACTGCTGCAGCCCATTTGCTGAACTGATTCTGCAGCAAGATGGGACAAAAACACTAACACCTTGGAAATCACAATTCCTATAACCACTGCCATAGTAATAGAAGCGTGAATGTGAAGCCAATGCAGCAAGTTCATTAATGTTGGGCTCACTCAATAACCAATGAACTCCAGATATCAGTTGTGCTGTCTATGCAAATGTTTTAATCGGTCAATAACGACAATAGTTACAAAAAGGAATTGGTTTATAAATAGCAACAAGTGAAATAAGCTCAATCAGCATTATCTACATTTCTAGAAGCACAGTTCCTTTTTCTCTACTTGGTGGACTTACAAACCAGTTTTACTTGCTGCTGCTCGCTGCACTTTTTTTTCTCCACGACAGCTTTGGAGGCATGTAACCTGTAGCTCGTGATTTCTCACGCAACCAGTGTCAATCATATCTGTAGCAGCTAGAGCATTGTACTGCAGTAGGAGGGAGGGTTGGAATGAGAAATCCCATCAATGGCCTCTGGGTAACTAGGGATCCGCTCCTTTTCTGACCTAATAGTTAATTAACTTTGTGGTGGTGGAGAGTAATCCTGCCCTGAAATAACACAGAACGAGGAGGAGAGAGCGCTCCGACTGTCTGAAGCACTTCCTAACTCCAGGCTAGTGGTTACTCTTCCCAGCTCCACATTCCCCCTCCCATTTGCCCAGGCCAGATCGTGGCCAGCCCATTGCTAGTACAATGCCATGTCATTCCTCAACAGCCGTGCTATCCACAGGGCCCCATTGCTCAACATGAATACCGGCTAGCTGCTACAACTTCCACAAACAGGCTAGGCTACATGACATTGAATATACATTAAAAAGTGTCAAAGGATCTATCATTATGTAGTGCCGTCACTACTGAGCTCATCCACTGAGATCCACTGCCACCGCTGGCTTACCTCCATCATCCATTGAGCGCTTCTGGCCTCCGTAGCCATAGAGAGAGGGGTCTAGGACTGGAGAGGAGTTGTTCATGTGGGGCATCTGGTCACCTCCAATCTTAGCCGCAATCTGAAGAGACAAGAGTGATGGAAAGAGGGGGGAGGGCTAGAGTGAACAAACAGATAGCAACACAACCTGTTCTAGATAGATAAACTAGTTACATTAAAAAAGTTACATTAAAAAGGTTATATTTGACCGTTATTTTCCAGTCACAAGGTCAAACTATTACCCAAAATGAAGTACTACTTTTCATAGCGAATCAAGTTATTTCAGTTGTCAACACGGAGCCATTTTTTACTCTCCAAGTCAGCTACAACTGAATGCAATTGAAAGGCAGTAACTACCTCCCGAAACTAGCTGCGACACATGCACATTACAAAACACTGCCTGCATCACCTCGCCCAAAATTAGCCACTTGCCAACGCCAATTAACTACATGTATTCTTCGGAGATAGACATTTAAATCTAAACGCTGCACAAAAGCATTGAGGCCCGTTTCTCCTAAACCCCTCATCCGCAACCACCTCTCTCCATTCAAAAAGTATATAGTTTCAGAAAATTACACAAAATTGATGTAATTTCTGCAATATGAAAATACAATGTCTCCAATTAAAGGCTGACAATTGGAGCCTTGCAACACCTTCAGGCGTCATTATCAACTTCAGAGCCGCCACACTGAGCTGCCTGCCTGCCGTGGAAGTGAGATGGGAGAAGAAAAAAATAACTGCCCTCCAACATGGATCCTGATCCCAGGCAGAGCTGAACTGGGTAGGGGGCCACGGAGGGGGCTGAGTGAGGGCTCCACCTCTTGCCTAGAGCCAAACCTTCTTTCTGGGGAATGTTGGGGGTGGTATGTCAGCAATGTGAGCTGCACACAATAAATCAACTACCCGGGGAAAGGCTTGGGCCTAGTAGTGTAGAACGAGGCAAACACGGCGAGTCTTCTCAGGACAACTGCTGCTGACTGTCAAGGGGGTTTGGGGCAGGCAAGGTCCACCAGGAAAGAAATGCCAGAGGATATTCTGTCGCTCAGGGAACATCCCCTCGGGGTGGGTGAGAGGCCTGTTTGCGCTGAAACTACCATGCAAACACTTCCATATGATGGAGGAGAGCCAGGGGGAAATTCACCCAATCTCTGCATACTACACTATGGGGTTATGGTTATTTCAGTGCATATATTTGTATCAAAGAGATTGGAAGCTCATTGATGTCCTAGTCATTTTGATTTTGTGATAAAGACAACAATTAACTTTCTTCTATTGTATTTTTTTTTTATCACAGCAGACTTGTCCAACATGAACATTCACATTAATATGCAGCTGAACATCAAGATTATATAAAAAACAACACTGACAAGATAATCTAAACATTTACACAAAAACATGGGTATGACAGGGGCAAGTGTGACTAGACTAGTCTCACTATGTGATCATAATATAAGTATGGAGCTGAAATTTCAGGAGTACTTGAATTAAGGAGCAACGAGAAGTTTTTACTTTATCAGAGAGATTAGCAACTCAACAGCAACACTGAATGCCAGCTCTGTTCAGTCACAATACCAGATACCGATATATAGGGCCTACAGATTATCTGTACACATCCGCTGTTCGTAGAAAATATAACGTTCTAGGGCTGGGCTATTCTGGGGTGGAGTTCTCCTTGAAGGTAGCACTTCATAGAAACAGTGTTTTGATATCTTTGGTCTCCTTGCAGACAGACAGTAAAAGGTTCAGTGTCCTGGCCACTGGCTCAGTTCTATTTTCCCCCCTACAGAGTTCATAAAAGATAAATGGGCAAATGGTACGGCAGTCCTATTCCCAGAAGCACAGACCTGGGACCTATAGGGAAGCTGCAAGGGAAACCTGGATGCCACGGTTATCTGAGGAAAACTGACACTGGACCCACAAGCCTGATGCATGAGTACAAAGCCACATGCGATTGTAGCTCCTGGGATAAGCACACAGCTGAGAGAGTGGGGGGAGAGAAAGCAAAGGCATTATTAAATGGACACTAGAGCACCCAGACATGTGCTTATGCCACATGCTCATCTGGGTTTATTTGCAGGATAGTGTCTTTGCCTGTCAGGGAGAATATGTTATGAATATCTGTGTTTGTGTCAGTTAAAGCAAAGAAGACCAATAGTTCCTTTTGAAATATTAAGTTGAAATATGCAGTTTGTTCAGCACACTTTCGTAGGGCCCAGGAAATATGATAAGGTGAGAACAGGTGTGTTTTTGTCCTGGGTGTCAAGGCTTCACAAGAACTCGGCCCAGAGTGCAGACACTGACTAGGAAGGAATGGGGAGCGGTGTGGCAGAGCTTTCCTTCACTGTGTGCAATAGCCTACTTCCTGAAATGATAGATTGGAATAGTAATCTCAGGAAACGTTCACTATGTTGCTTGCATGCTACTGGCATTTTAAATGGAATAATTTGCACAGTCGTGGTGTGGTTTGGTCAATTGTAATATTGTAGTCTACACATTATATGGCAGTGTGGGGGTTTACAGACCAATAAATGATTTGATCAACTACATACAGTGCGTTTGGTCATAGGCCCAAATGACATAACTAACGCTAACTTTGAGATGTCAAGAAGTAGCTAGTTCAACCAATGCGTAAGTAATATTTAGGCTGCAACTCGTTAGCTAGCTAACTAGATAATGTTAGCTTGCTAGCTAATGAGTTTCCATCGCAAGACTGGAGTATTAACATTAGCTAACCAGCAAGTCGTTACTGAGTGATAAGGTCCCAATACAATTTTAGCTAGAGACGATATTATTAGGCAATGCAGTAGTTGGCTAACACCCTGTTGCAAACAAGAAAAGTTCAGCGATAACATTTCAGCAAGCTAGGTGGCTAACTAGCTAACATTAGTTGTTGACGTTGCGATGCTAGCTAGTTTTCCTCGCATGTTCGCTAAGTAACTAGCTAGGCTTAGCTAACATGTACAATCGAAGCTAGTTAGCTAACATTACTACTAGACTGAATCATTCGATAGTTTAGCAGCTAGCCAGCGTTAGCTAGCTATAACTACTGAATTCTGAAGTTGTTTAACATACAGCGGTGTAGTTAACTTATAATTTATCGTGGTGAATATCCGCTGATTTCAGCCACGCGCTGTCAAAAGTCAGCTTGCTAACAGGAAAACGTCAACTGTGTTTTAAATTGCCTTGTAAACACTCGCAAATTTAACACATAGTTTACGTTTTTCTTAACTTTTGACAGCGCGTGGCTGAAATCAGCTGATATGCTGGCTTCACCACGAACCTAGGCCACAACCAAAGCTGATATCGGCTTGTAGTGTGGTGGTAAAGTAGCTAGTGGTGCTAACTAGCTTAAACTTCCGTGGCTTTACAACAGGTTGCAGTTTGTTGCTTATGCCTTGTTTAATAAAGTTACTCTCACTTCAGTTTCATGCAAGGGGTTTCTTAGTTGCGCCAATCACACTTTGCCTAATTAATTTTCTTGTTCTTTGACTTCACTGTTTATTGTTGGGCGTCTTTTGGCCCGCAAACTCTTAGCACTTGGACCTTGTGTCGCTAACTTCAGTTAGCTAGCTATACATACAGGAGTTTTTTTTTTGAGTAAAGAGGGGTCTGGGGTTATACACTGCTGGTAGAAGAAAAAAAGTGCACTCCTCCACCACACCGAATGGCCTTGCTCGTTTCTCGTCTGAAATCATTCGGTTTATCTTCGTCGGAATGAATTACCTGTCGGGCCCGGTGTAAAGCGTCGGCGAAGCCATCTGCTTTCGTTCCAGGCTGAGCCACCGAGGCCTGTCCCTGTACCAGCTCCGCCATCATCATCATCCCTACAGCAGCTCTCAGCAACACACCAAAAAAAAACTTCGGACTAGCGAGCAAATCAAGCAGCGCACGCACCGACCTCAGGAAGAGGAAGTTAAGCCTCCCTCTACACGATACCGCGAGATTCAGAACTATTCGTTTCGGAGAGCTGTATTTTCTGAAATCACGCGTTACTTGACAGATAGCGTGACAATTTTAACCGGAAGAAGTACTGCTTAGAAGTCAGACGGTATAAAGATATCTTTGGTATGGGGTCGTCACTAGTTACCACACCCACAAAGTCAGTACCCTTTTTCTAAAATGTCTACTTTTTAAACCCTAACCACACGGCTAACCTTATGCCTAACCCTAACCTTGAATTAAGACCAAACAGCTCATTTAGGTTTTTATGACTTTTTACGAGATAGACAATTTCGACTTTGTGGCTGTGCTAACTAGTGGAAACCTTGGTGTGGTTGAGTGATTTTTAAAGTGCTTGTTGAGCAATATGAAAATGTTTGATTACATTAGGAATTAGGTGTGAATGTGTTTATATGTTTTGGAATAATCTTAGGAATGTTTTTAATAGTAACATAAGTACAAGTTGATGTGTGTCTTTAAAGACCCAGTGAAGTAAAAATTCGTTTTATCCTGTGTTTTTTATCATATTGTACAACAGCTGATGAAACTAACACTGTAAAAGTGTGAAAACATTTGATCAGTGTTATTTCCTGTGGTTGCTGGTTGAAAATACAATCTACACAGGACCTTTAGCAGGTTTGCATGGGTGGGAGTTTCAGCTTTCCATCGTGACATCACCATGGTAAATTGGGGGGGGGGGGGGGGGGGGGGGGGGGGTCAAGTGCAAGTGTTGATTCAGGAAAGTTTTTATTTTTGGGGGGGGGGGAGGTCGAGGTGAGGAGGGGGATTATTTAAGATACTCTTTGAAGAGGTAGGGTTTCAGGTGCTTTCGGGAAGATGGGCAGGGACTCTGCTGTCCTAGCTGTAGGGGGAAGATGTTTCCACCATTGGAGTGCAAGGACAGAGAAGAGCATGGACTGGGCTGAGTGGGAGCTGCCCTCCCGTAGGGGTGGGAGGGCCAAGAGACAAGAGGTGGCAGAACGGAGTGCTCGGGTTGGGGTATAGGATTTGCACATAGCCTGAAGGTAGGGAGGGCCAGTTCCTCTTGCTGCTCCGTAGGCAAGCAACATGGTCTTGTAGTGGATGCAAGCTTTGACTGTGGAGTGTGTGGAGGAGCGGGTGACATGGGAGAACTTGGGAAGTTTGAAAACCAGGTGGGCTGCAGTGTTCTGGATAAGTTGCAGGGGTTTGATGGCACAAGCGGGGAGCCCAGCCAACAGCGAGTTGCAGTAGTCCAGACGGGAGATGACAAGTAACAGGATTAGGACCTGCACCGCTTCCTGTGTGAGGTAGGGTCGTACTCTATGGATGTTGTAGAGCATGAACCTTCAGGAGCGAGTCACTGCTTTGATGTTTGCAAAGAACAACAGGGTGTTGTCCAGGGTCACGCCAAGGTTCTTTGCTCTCTGGGAGGGCTACACTGTGGAGTTGTCAACCGTGATAGTGAGGTCTTTGAGCGGTCAGGCCTTCCCTGGGAGGAAGGGCAGCTCCGTCTTGTCGAGGTTGAGCTTGAGGTGGTGGGCCGACATCCAAGCTGAGATATCTAATAGGCACGCATAAATGTTTGTCGCCACCTGGGTGTCAGAAGGGGGAAGGAGAAAAGTAGTTGAGTGTCATCCGCATAGCAATGATAGGAGAGACCATGTGAAGATATGATGGAGCCGAGTGACTTGGTGTATAGAAAGAAGAGGAGAGGGCCTAGAACCGAGCTCTGGGGAACACCAGTAGTGAAAGTACGTGGTGCAGACACAGATCCTCTCCACGTTACCTGGTAGGAGCGGCCTGCCTGGTAGGATGCGATCCAAGAGTGTGCAGAGCCTGAGACGCCCAACCCTGAGAGGGTGGAGAGGAGGATCTGATGGCTCACGGTGTCGAAGGCAGTGGATAGATCTAGGAGGATGAAAACAGAGGAGAGAGAATCAGCTTTGGCAGAGCGGAGAGCCTCAGTGACACGAGCAGTCTCGGTTGAGTGACCCGTCTTGAAGCCTGACTGGTTAGGGTCAAGAAGATCGTTCTGAGAGAGATAACGAGAGAGTTGATCAGAGACAGCACGCTCAAGTGTTTTGGAAAGAAAGAAGGGATACAGGTCCATAGTTTTTGACATCAGATGAGTCGAGTGTTGGTTTCTTGAGGAGGGGATCGACTCTGCGCCATTTTGAAGTCAGAGGGGACGCAGCCAGCGGTCAGGGATGAGTTGATGAGGGAAGTGAGGAATGGGAGAAGGTCTCCAGAGATGGTCTGGAGAAGGGAGGAGTGGATGGGGTCAAGCGGGCAGGATGTCGGGCGGCCAGACCTCACTAATCGCAGTATTTCATCTGGAGAGAGAGGGGAGAAAGAGGTCAAGGCGTAGGGTAGTTCTGTGTGAGTGGGACCAGTGGATGGCATCAACTTTCTTTTCAAAGTGGTTGACAAAGTCGTCCGCAGAGAGGGAGGAGGGAGGGAGAGGTGGTGGATGATTAAGGAGGGAGGAGAAGGTGGAAAATAATTTCCTAGGGTTAGAGGCAGAAGCTTGAAATTTAGAGTGATAGAAAGTGGCTTTAGCAGCAGATACAGAGGAAGAGAAGGTAGAGAGGAGGGAGTGAAAGGATGATAGATCCTCCGGAAGTTTAGTTTTCCTCCGTTTTCACTCAGTTGCCCGCATCCCTGGTCTGTAAGCTTGCAAAGAGTCACTCAGCCACGGAGCAGGAGAGAGTAAAGGGGACAGTGCGAGTCATATGATGCTGAAAGGGAGGAGAGTAAGGTCGAAGAGACAGAATCAGGAGACAGGAGGGAGAAGGATTTAGCAGAAGGGAGAGATGATAGGATAGAAGATGAGAGAGTAGTGGGAGAGAGAGAGCGACAATTGTGACGGCGCATGACCATCTGGGTAGGGGCTGAGTGGCTAGATTGTAGGAAAGGGAGACAGAAAAGGAAACAAAGTAGTGATCAGAGACCTGGAGGGGGGTTGCAGTGAGATTAGTAGGTGAACAGCCTCTAGTAAAGACGAGGTCAAGCATATTGCCTGCCTTAATGGATATCTATTACAGTAAGGTACTTAATTGTTTTTCAGAAATGATTTGATATTGATAAGAAACTGCTGCACTGGGCCTTTAAACTTGCCCACTTAATAATATAGTATGCAGTAGCACAGAATTGCTCTTTTAACCATGTTTAGCTAAATGTTTACTCTCCCACACATCGCCTTTGTCACTGAACTAACAGTTAGTCTGCCTGTGAATGTGACTAGGTCACATGATTTTTTCACAGGCAACACATTTACAAACAATATTGCAGTTTTTGTTCATTTTCCTCAGGTACTATTTGCTTGTCCACTCTTTTGTTAAACACTGAGAATGTAGCCTACTCAGAGAATTGGCTTAAAGGCAAACATTTTTGTTGTTGTTGCATGTGTCACAGTTGCCTCTGTAGGTTAAATGTGTCTGTTTTTGCAATGCAGGCCCATGACTTATGAATAAAGATGTGGTTTATTGTGTAATAGGGGTGGAGAGAATCGTGTAACCAATCTGGTTGGACTCAAAACAGTTGACATGTAGGCCTACAGACAGATGAAAATTGAGGAATATTGAATTTCCTTCTAATTTTCTCATTGCACATGTGGAAACATCTATTGTTGCACATCTGGCAGATTCCAGCACTTTGGAGAGGCAAGTAAAATTGCCTAAAATTTCTAGACTGTTTATGCAAAACAGTTCCTGTTCCTTAAATTGCAACCAAACCCTATGCTACGAGAACAAGATACTGTACAAGTAGGCCTCGGTCCAAAATGAATTTGGAGACAAAACTGAATGTATAATAAGAGCACATTTGTTTGAGTATCTTTCCTTGTCCTGGCAGTACATTGCTTACCTTACAGGCTTTACATTTCCCCCTGAAAATTAAAACAATGTGTTCTCTAAACATATGTTAAACACTCCATATGTGTGGGCTATAGGCCTATGTGTGTCAATGATGGGGGGTGCTTGAACATGACTGCTTAGACTGGCCTGTGAGACAAGGAGAATGACGTTCCCTGGGTCTGCTGCCTCTCTTACGGATATTTCAATTGTCCTGCCTGCTCAGCCTCAGGCATTTTATCACCTTAAAAAAAGAAGAGAATAAATTAAGTGGGCAAGATGTAGGGGTTGCTATTACCATAGCCAGACTGACACCTCTAAATGACGATCTCCAATTTAAGTGAAGTATGATCTCGCGCCGCTATTGCTAACATGTGCGCAGCAATATATTCAGACTCAGGGATGAGTAGGAGGGGAAGTAAAATTCAGAACCATTAAAGATTCAGCCGCCTGCAGCCCCCAGTGTCTGTCTCTCTCTCTTTTTCTTACAGGCTGGTACACATGAGCACGGTGTTGCATTTAAAATTCAAATTCTCTCTCTCCCAGCGGTGCAGGAGAACAGGGATAGCTAAAGCAGGTGTGGTGGGCCTCTCGAGTCCTGCCAGTCAAACAGTGGGAACTTTGATGAGAATGGAGGGGGTGGGGAGGGGGGGTGCGGTGCAGAGTGTGGTTACCATACGACAGTGGTTCCCAACCAGGGGTACTAGGACTATCCACAGGGGGTACTTAAGAAGACTCATGAGACCATAGGCCTACAGTGAGGGGAAAAAAGTATTTGATCCCCTGCTGATTTTGTATGTTTGCCCACTGACAAAGACATGATCAGTCTATAATTTTAATGGTAGGTTTATTTGAACAGTGAGAGACAGAATAACAACAGAAAAATCCAGAAAAACACATGTCAAAAATGTTATAAATTGATTTGCATTTTAATGAGGGAAATAAGTATTTGACCCCTCTGCAAAACATGATTTAGTACTTGGTGGCAAAACCCTTGTTGGCAATCACAGAGGTCAGACGTTTCATGTAGTTGGCCACCAGGTTTGCACACATCTCAGGAGGGATTTTGTTCCACTCCTCTTTGCAAATCTTCTCCAAGTCATTAAGGTTTCGAGGCTGACGTTTGGCAAC